GTTGTTAGGAACAACTCGCCGGCAACTCCGAAATTGTTTGGAAAAATTTCCCCCGTCTGACATGGGCCTGAGCAATTTTTACAAACTGTCAATGCTTAGAGTAAGGTACTGAACCTAAGTACCACTGTTGTTGAACCTTTCCATGCAGTTGAGCGCATTTGGAATGAATCGGGATGACGCGAATCATCGCCTACGGTCGGACGCTTTCGTAATGAACGCCTTGACTACGAAATTGCACGTTTAACTAAGTGGGCCCATTTTTTTATGTTATTAATGTGTTATGATCTCCAGAACGAACATTCCTGTTTAAAAAATAGAATACTTGGCCCCGGAATGGATAAATGAGCTTCATTACAAATTTTCGGGGTAGAAACTAACCGATTTTTATGTAAATCGTCGGCGCGGTGTTTGGTATGCAAATTCCATGTCATTGTGTATGCAAGTTAGATACCATCGCATTGCTGAAATCATGAACTTAATGTGCACCCTTTCTCAATCTTGAGTGCAAATAATTAAAATAATGCAAAGTTGCCACTCAGATATTTTTTTTTTTTTTTACATTTCAAAATTAATAGCATTCATTCTGTTGAACAAAATGGATGAGCAATTAGCGTACTTATGTTATGGCTTTGGAGGACAAATCTTTACTGGCAACTATGGCCATGAATGGGGCATCAGCGTCGCATCAGTGTCTCTTGTCCATACTTTTCTGGATTTTGACAGCCTTTCTCTTGGTTTGTTCGCTTAGTTCAGTGGTTCTCAAAGCGGGGGGGGGGGGGGGGGGGGGGGGGTCCACGGCATGTTTAGTAGCTTTGAATTCAGAATAGTTACTGAGAAAGCGGCGGATGAATCCGACGTCAAAACTAACGTTCGATTTCCCCGTGCTTTGTAGTATCATGATGTTACTTGCAAGCAAATTGGCGGGTCAAACGGCCAGTCTAAAAAACTGTACATTGTGAAATGTTTTTGTGCTTTTGAGCGAGCGCTAGATTAAGGGAGGACGTGGAGTATGGATAACAACTTTCTTATTTCTAGAGATATCTGAACGAAATTTACACGGTGTGTGTATAACGCAGACATAAAAGTAACTGCAAAGTTTCATGGAGCTGTGCATATTATTTCTCATGTCACAAGTATTTATGAAAGTCGTCCATATCCCTTTCTTATCCCAGGCCTGGAGAATTTGAAAAAGGTAGTAGCAGTATAAAATTTGTAATGGTGACCCCTGGACCTCCACGACATGACAGAACCCTTCCTTTTGATTTCTTCAATGAAAAATTTTAGCGCAACTTTGAGTATTATGCAGTTGGTGAAACTTGGTTAATCAAATTAAATTTTTATTATAATTTTATGGGCTCTGTTATGGCCTCACAAAGTTATATAGGAACAGAATAAAAAAAGACAGCACTGAAATCCATGGAGCAGTTCCCTAGATATCGCTGGGACGAGCAGCCACGGGAGTGAATCTGCGACCATGTTTAGGAAAACGGTTAACTTTTTGACAATCAGGTTTTCCCCAAGAGCTGTTTCCCCAGTGGTCCGGTTTCATTTGCAAAGGAATAGTATAAAGAAAGGGTCAATGCGCAGGCTTTTTTTCTTCATTATCTACCGGGAGCACGTACAGTGCTTGCAAGTTGTTAGGTTTAGAAGCTGCAAATGAAAATATTGAAAGCAAGAAGTTGTCGCCTTTCCTTCATTCGGTTTCCTTTTGGAGCATTTGCTTCCGCGACATTCCACCGGCTTCAAATTCCGAACTGGAGGTACTTTACAGAACTTCTCCCTCGGACGATGAGCTCTCGTCCTCTAAATTTAATTCCAAAAAGCGTTGAAAGTTTGGATGGGAAGAGCCAGTGCTCCCATCGGCTCAGTATGTGTAGTGACCATCACGTGCAAGTCTAGTTTGAAAGTTACAAATAGCCGGGCACCTCGAAACGACGGGCAAAAATAATGTTCATATAGTTCACCAAAGACGCAACAAAATGCAGCGGCCTCTCGTGGCGCACGCAGCTCCGCGTTCAGGCGGGCCCTTTCAGGCGCGTGATCACCGCCGTACGTGCGGCGACTGCCGTCGGAGAAGCGGGGAGTCGCCTCGTATTGCTTCGGTACCGGCAAAGCGTTCCCTCTGCCGCGAGCCAAGGACCCCTATCGGACGGGCCCGCGTTTTTCCCCGCCAGGCCCTGGTGCTGGCCCCCACTCGGGAGCTTGCCCAGCAGATCCAGCAGGTGGCGGCCAGACTTTGGCAAGGCCTCCCGGATCCGCAACACGTGCGTCTTTGGCGGAGCACCCAAGGGATCGCAGTTGAGGGACCTGGAGAGAGGTGGGTGCGACGCGGCGCCTCGTGGTGGTGCCGGTACGGCGCTTGGGACGCGCGCTTGCGTCGTTCCGTCGCTTGCTGCGATCCGGCTCGACGGTTCGCGGAAGAGTCGGGAATCGGGACAACGGCGGCACTCGCATTCGCTCGTAGAACTTCCACGACCAACCGCAGCTTCCGACAGCGCGACGCGTGGGCGCCTGCTACAAACGCGTCAATCGAAGGCTCGTTCCGGCCACCTTGGTATTGACAACGGGGGCGGCAGAGAACAGTGTACGTTGGAACTAAGGTGAAAGAATCTGCAAAGAGGGGATGAGTGTGCAATTCGAATAAGCCCGTGGCTCGCACATTTTCAGTGGCACCTTCGGCGAGTATAATGGGATATTTTTGGGCCTCGTATCCGACGCACCTCACCGCTCTCGCTTAATCGATATGACTAGGAAATGTGGCGAGAACAAAAGGCTCCGGCTTGCCACGCGAAGCCGCTTTTGTACACGCGTGGGCTTCTGGAGCATTCGGCGTAGAAGGTTCAGCGCGTAGAACATTCTAACCTCGAAACAGCAAGGCGGTTTGAAAACTGTTGCACAGTTTTGATTGGACTCTAAAGGCGCATGTTGCGCTGTTGGTGTGCGGATTAGATTCTGAGTTCTTTCAGACGCCCGGTCGGCACCTGTAGACGGACGCCCGTGTACGCCGTGGATCGTGCGCGATAGGACGCCGCGACGACGCCGTACGTCGGCATTAGATGGTCGCGTCTCACAGACTCTGTTGGAGGCCACAGCGATGCGCAAAATCCAGAACAGTTATTGTGAAACCACCTGCAAACGGAGGTGGTGCCAAAACCAGCGTTTGAATATACCTGCGCTTCTTGGTGCCGTCACGTCTCCGGCCGGAGGACTCGTGGGTCGGGCAGAGTCTAGATAGCAGAGTAGGAAGCACATTTGTCTCGCGCGGGTGCTGAAGGAACCTCCCAAACGTTCGTTTGCCACCGTTGAACTTATCACAATCTGTTGGGAACAAATACTGCCCTAAGTGTGAACCCCTGCCGTTCGCTGGCACCACACTTCATTGTTGCCAGTGGGAGCTTTCAGTGAAAAAAATGATCACGACCAAAATTGTGAAATATTAACTTCGAGAAAAAAAATATATATACATATACCATAGAATACCGCACATCCGCCCATTCCACATTAAGTGCACATTCCCAAATCTGTAAGATCTGAGAAAATATGCTTAGTGCATTTATAGGTAAAATTGTTGACCGGAAAAACGCCCATCCCCCATTTTTTTTGCGATTGTCTCCAAAGCTTGAGTGGACGCTTGCTCGGTATATTACGGTATGGGCGGTTTCATTTGGATTCAGGCAACGAGGTGCAGTCGTGTATTTTATGTTCCCTCACATTTTTATATTACGTAGAGCATGTTCGAAGAACAACAATCCTTTTTATTTTAATGTCCTGACATGTTTAGTTTCTGAGGAAAAAAATATCTCAAAGAAGCAGGAAAGGACGACGAGGTTTTGACGATTGTCGTGTGTGGCGTTTTTGAATCACTCTCTATCTCAAAGTATTCGAAGGAGAGTGTCTATATTTTTTTAGTGCTATATATATGCAATTAGGCAAAACGACATAACTACTATTTATTATTCATCGCTCAAATCTTTGTAAAAAACCCCAAACATGCCTCCGCGAACAACTGTAACCTAAATTGCGGATTTTTTTTTTTTTAATCAGCTATGTTTAATATTGTTTTTAATATAATACCGCGTGTAGAACCTTTCATTGCCTTCCAAATTAAGCAAAGTTTGTGCCTTTATCATGTACAAGTAGTGAGAAATAAATTATGAAACGGGCAAGGTTTTCACCTTTCGTTCAATTTCAGCACACTGTAAGAAAAAAAATAAAACACTAATTTTTTTTTTTTTTTCTTGTTTTGCGTTCTCTTTACACTTTCCTTTTATCCAGAATGCGTTCCGTTAGAGCAGGGGTTCTCAAACTTTTTGGTCTCGCGGAACCCCAGCAAGCCTCAAAAACTGCCGCGGAGCCCCCCCCCCCCCCCCCCCCATATTTGCTGACTGAGATGCAATAGATGCACGATTGTAGGCAATTTTGCTTGTGTTGCTTCCCATATATGCCCACCATATGAATCACAATGTCAGTATAAAGTGAGATGAAGATGCTTTGCATGGTCCTGCCATGCAGCCTGCGGCATGGGGGGGGTTGCAATATGGGTGTTCGCGGAACTCATGAGACCAGCTCGTGGAACCCCTGTGTTCCCCGGAACCCAGTTTGAGAACCCCTGCGTTAGAGGTATATGCACTGTTTTTAAAACTGAGGTTGAATTTTTAAAATCCGAGATAACCCTACCACCCTGACTTGCACTTCGCGTTTCTTTTCTTTCCTTTCCTTCTCTCCCCCTTCTTTCCCTACTCCTACTGGGTATAGTCGGCTGCTCGCTGTTTGAAAGTTTACTCGTCTGTTGCTAGTTGAAAGATGTGGTTGTGTTGTCCCTGTTTTAATTGTTTTATTCTTTCTTCATCCATGACTGTTTTTTAGTTTTAAGTCTCTAAATATGTTATAAAAAAATAATTCTGTTCTGTTATCAACATGAATTTCGCATTAAAAATATAAAATTTCGCATTTAAAAATCTAGGCTTCCAATAGGAAGTGTATTTTACTCTAACGTTTTACAATATTATACTTCAATATCTCTACCGCAGTATATATTATGTAGCGCATAGGGTTTAGGCTTGAGGCCTCTCCAATCATGGCACCGGCTGAAATTGTCCGAAAACCCGCTTTCGGCAGTTGCGATTTTATAGTGTTTAGACGTTTGGAATTGCAAACTTGTTGTGACTAACAACATCAATATCTTTTATATGATTATTTATTAAATGCCCCTTAGAATATTATAATAAAGAATAAAATGTACAGCTATAACCCATGAACCCACCATCAGCATTTGCTCTTTTGTAGCATATTTAGAGGCTTAAAACTCAAAACTAGTGCATATACAGTAAAACCTCGTTATAACAAAATGGGATATAACAAACTAATGGATATCACAAAGCAATCATAATTCCCCTTGCTTGCTAATAGTGGGAAGAAATGGACACTGTCTATAACAAACTAATGGTTATAACGAAATAATTACGACCGCTCCTTCAACTTTGTTATAACGAGGTTTTACTGTACCTCTAACGGAATGTATGCTGGCTAAGAAAAGAGTGTAAAAAAAACGCAACGCAAAAAATATTTTAAGAAAAAATTAAATTTTTTTTTTTATACAGCGTGCTGAAATTGAACAGAAAGTGAAAACCTTCTCTGTTTCATAATTTATTTCTCAGTACTCCTATGTGATTAAGACACAAACTTTGCTTAACGTGGAAGGCAATGAAAAGTTCTGTACGTGGTATGAATTTTAAAATACTAAACATAGTCGACTAAAAAAAATCTGCAGTTTAGGTCAGTTGTTCGCGGAGGCATGTTTGAGGGTTTTTACAAAGATTGGAGCGACAAATAATAAATAGCAGTTATAATGTTGTTTTACCAGTGATGTGATTGCTGCGCCAATTGCGCCAAACTGCGCCAAGGGGCTAACCCTGCTACATCCTGCTACATTTCGCCAAAATATGGCTAATCTGCGCCAAGCCTGCGCCAAAGGACCAATTTTGGTCGCCTTTCAAAACCGAAACTAAACTGAGAACCGTGAGCTAGGTGGCAAAAGACGCCGCCCGACACGAAGTACCCTGCATCAATCGTGTATTCGGTCTTGCATGATTTTTCACTCCGTCTCGCGTTTCACGCTCTCGTCGTCTCGGGAATCTCGTCTCGAGTCTTTTTTTTTTTTTTTTACTTTTTTAGCGATAGACGCTGGCGTGTGCGGACGCTTCGATATTAGTGTGCAGGGTGCCAGACATGCCGTCATACTGTGAAACAAAACCACGTTTTGCACGGCGAGAGTTACTTCGTAAGCTGAAGCGCTCGCGCGACGTCGTGTGTTGCCGTCCCCACGTCGCTGCAGATATGGCGCTTTCTAAACTGAAACGCATCGACATTCTTGCTCTTGTTTAAATCATATGCTGCTATAAAAATCCCTCTTTAACTCAATGACTGCTTGGTGAAGTTTTGATTACTTAGGTTTCTCTCGGTGGGCTTTCTTTCGAGAGGGACCTCGGTATGTGAAAAATCTGCCGTGAAAGAAGGTTGGTAAAGAGAAGTGAGCTAAAGCAAAGAAGGCAATGTTCACATGCTGAACCCGCACACTGCGCTTGTTTGTTTGAGTTTAGTCGTTGCACAAAGTGCTCCAAGAGCTTTTTGACCCTGATTCGCAATGTCTTGCATCGATACGCTCAGGTTCTTCAGGTTCTTTTTTTTTTCTGTGTGTTTAGCCTGTACCTCGCCTGCCGGCCTGGCAAGCGTGCGCCGCTGGACTTTTCTGTCTCGTGTGCTGGACAGTTAAATTTTGCACACTATTTTGGGAACCAGTTGGTGAAGGAGCGGATTGGCGTGGTTTCGGTTTCGGTCGAACAGCTGTTGTCTCCGCTCGCGCGACGAAGCACGTGCATGTAACTGCAAGCCTGCCGAAGTTGCCCCCACGTGCATGTGAACATGATTGCACGAGAGGCACCAGCCAGGACGCTTGCAATCCATTGTTTTAAGTTTGCTTACTTTTTATACAAATCTGCCACGTCGGAAACCAGTAAAATGATAGAAAGTGTTCTTTTTTTTGTTTTTTTTTTTTGGTATTGCTCGGCAACACCTACAGCACTGTATACTTGTGGGATGTCTCAGCAGCAGAAACACAAGCGAGTTCCGTCCAACACGTCACAACATAACACAAAGTGCCCTTCGTTTGTCCAGCACTTAAAGGGCCCATGAAACAGATTTTGGGTTGGGATAAATCATTTTCGATTGGGATTTTACTAATAGCACATCGTTCAGTGGGCCAAAAGAAAAAGGTAGAAAGACAAAAGCCTGACTTTCAGTGCAAAAATTTGAAAACAAAGCGGACTATTTCGTACCTCCTCCCCTTCGTAAGCTCTCTGCCTTTTCGCTGTAATACATCCGCGGTCCCAAAAGCGCGTCATTGGGTCCAAACTGATGTCACACAGAACCGGACCTCACTTAGTCCCTTCACCCCTAAGCTGACATCGTGGTAGAAGCTACGCGCTTGCCGAACCAATCAGCCGCCTCCCTTTCATCACCTGACCTCCTTCTCTGTGCGTGGGTATGCGCGAAAAAGCGTGATCATGTTGCAAGTGTGGCTGGCCCAACGAGCACGTAGCTTCCACAGCACTGTCAGCTCCGGGGTGAACGGGTTGGGGAAAGCAACTTTCGTCTGAAGTTTGAGCGACGGGCTAATCTTCTAGGGGGACAATGGCTCTGTCCGGGTACATAATCCAGATTCCGAGCAAAAGGGGCCTCCCCTCTTTTCGTCTTTTTGAACTGTTTGGTGGAATGCGCGATTTATGAGTTGAGGAGGAAAGCTAAACAGGAAAAAGTTGGAAAAGCGTTTCATGACCCCTTTAAAACAAATATTTATTTTTCTAAGAACATATATGCTCCAAAAGCCACTTTTTTCTGCTTCAAAACACTGTTTTGGCTGCTCCAAAAGCTGCTCCAAAATGGCTTAGGCCAATCACATCACTGTTTTACTTACTTGCATATATATCACACTGAAAAAATGTAGACGCTCTCCTTTGAATACTTTGAGATGGAGAGTGATTCAAAAACGCCACACGCAACAATCGTCAAAACCTCGTCGTTCTTTCCCGCTTCTTTGAGATTTATTTTTTCATAAACTAAACATGTGAGGACATTAAAGTAAAAAAGGATTGTTATTCTTGGAACACATGCCACGAAATATAAAAATTGGAATCAAAATAAAAAATATGACTGCACCTCATTCCCTGAATCCAAATGAAACTGCCTATATATATATATATATATATATATATATATATATATATATATATATATATATAGTGTGTGTGTGTGTTTGCCTAATATATGCTTGTTTTTCTTTTAGTTTCTTTTTCATTGTTTTTTTTTAGGTATTTGTTGGTTGTTTGGTCGCTTTTGAGGCAAGTTTGGGACCCTAAAGAAAATGCTGGAGTGCCGCTTAAAAAAGTATGTGTTTTTTTGCAAGTCCAGTTTTCTAGTGAATGCAGTTTGGGGCACTATGTCCAGCCTCCGTCGCTGTTGTGCAACGAAACTCTCAAGTCATTGTCGTCATCTGCCGCGCAGGAGTGGAGATCTGCATTGCCACGCCGGGACGGCTCATAGACTTCCTGGAGGCCGGGAAAGTGAACCTGCGCCGCTGCACCTACCTGGTGCTGGACGAGGCCGACCGGATGCTGGACATGGGCTTCGAGCCTCAGATCCGCAAGATTGTCGAGCAGATCCGGGTGAGTTACAATTTCTCTATCATTGTACCTTTTATGGACCTTCAATGGGTTATCTAAAAAAATGTAATTTTTCAGGGGCGAAGCTTCTTGGGGGCTAGCCATGTCCATATGTCCGTCCGATGTCTGGCGTCGGGTGCTCGTGCTCACGAGCACATGAGCACGCCCTTTCGTGCTCGCGTAGAGAAAAAAAAACATATCTCCACGTGGTAAATGATATTGATTGGGGCGAAGCTCTGGTGGTGCTTGTCTGCGTAGACTGTGAGCCGCAGCATGCCGAGCCTTTTGTTCGTTTTAATCCATGTCAGAAAGAAAATGTCGTATGGAACGTGGTTATATACGCATTTGAGCATTTGACCGCAGCGTGACATGGATGAAAACGAACGAAAGGCTGGGCATGCTGCGGCTCAGCGTCTAAGCAGACAGGCACCACCAGAGCTTCGCCCCAATCAACATCATTCACCACGTAAAAATGTTTTTTTTTTTTTTTTTTTTTTATATATATATATATATATATATTTAGTTTTATGGGACGTGACTCAACTGTCTCGAACTTGGGATAGGAACTGGAGTACAAAGGGAGCGAAGTACGGTTGCAGCATCGAGGCCTGAGAAATCTGGCTCTAAACTGGATGGTTATGGATGAACTTTGAGTGTAGCAGCGGCTCGTGCCACCTGGCGGTAGGTGGCGGGGTCGGCATGGTCTCGTATGACAATGTTATCCTTTCCAAGTGTTCCTAGAGCATTTTTAGTGTGCTTTGGGAGTGATGCTGGAGCATTCTGGGAGTGGTTTGCTAGCAAATGCGGCTATTCCTCCTGGCAAGTAGGAGGGAAGAGTACAGCAGCGGAAAGAATCAAGTGTTGTGAGCTGGAGCACCCCTTTTAGCCGAACTAAAATCAAAAGACGACGCTAATTTTCTAGTTGCTTTTACATGCTGCAAAAAGCCGTTTCAAGGTGCAAAACAGCTTTTTTCATTATTATTTGCATATTTCAATGAAGTTTTGGGGAGTCCCCCTTGGAGATTAATTTTCAGTCGTTAATTATCCAGTCTTAGTGCGCGGGCGTTTTGGATGCATCAGCCGTGAAAATCTGCATTCTCCTTGCAAGTTTCCATGGCAACTACGTGCAGCAATTAGCAGCAGAAGCTGTAGCACGATCTTGCGCGCCGCAAGTACTCTTATGCGGCCACGGAACCGGTCACTCGGCAAAAGAATCCCCCGTTCCTGTCGGGAGGAATAGCCGCATCGCCAACAAATTGCCCCCTGGGGCACTGCTGGGGCGTCCCCAGAGCGTTCAGAGAGCGCTCCCTGAACATTTTCGGAGCATTCCTGGAGCGCTCCCAGAGACCCGTCCCCTCTGTCCGCCCCGCACGCACAGCCGGACTGCCAGACCCTGATGTGGAGCGCCACGTGGCCCAAGGAGGTGCGCTCCCTGGCGGAGGACTTCCTCAAGGACTACATCCAGGTGAACATTGGGGCCCTGCAGCTGTGCGCCAACCACCGCATCGTACAGATCGTGGATGTCTGTCAGGAGTCGGACAAAGAGAACAAGTGAGGGTGCCCTCTCTTTCTCTTCCTGGCCCTTCCGCTACGGTGCCCAAAACGCCACACTTGCGCTTCGCTCACAAAATTTAGTCTTAGCTAGAGCCACTAAATGAGCTACGCTTCAAGTATTGGCAGTCTGTTACCCGATGTTGTTGTGGGCGCCGCCATCTTGGCACTCGTGCAGAGCAGATGCAACTGCCTATCATCACGATTCAAAAGTGAGTTTCTCGCCATTAGATTCGGTGTTAAAACGCTCATGTAATATTGCTTTGCTGTCTCCAACTGTTTAAACCTTTGTGGAGGACGGAAAGACGTTTCCTGCGATTTCAAATAGAGCTTCAGATAACTGGCAACCATGATTGTAAGCCCCAAGATGGGTAAGTGTCGTTATTCCGAAGCGTAGCTTGTTTGGTGGCACTGATCGCAGCTAAACGTCCGAAGCACCCTGTCCTAGCGACGAGTTCATTTATTTGTCCGCGTGGCATTTCAGGCTGATGGAACTGCACAAGGAAATCATCAATGAACAAGACAACAAGGTGGGTTGGAGTGGCATAGTAGCGCACCGGAAGCTGTCGGTGCAGCCTGGGTCTCGCCCGATTGGTTGAGACAGATCTTCCCGCCTCTTTCCTGCAGACGCTGATCTTCGCGGAAACCAAGAAAAAAGTCGACGAGCTGACACGCAGGATGAGGCGCAACGGGTGGGTGCTGCAAAAATGTCAATCGGTCGGCTCACCTTTTTTGAGGGGTGTTGCTGCTGTTTTCAAGCTGGGCCTTTGTACATTGTGGAGGAGACGGAATTGTCATGTAACATGGTTCACTTTTAGAAGTGAAGAGCCGCACTTCTTTGCCGCTCCGATTTCATTTTGTCTCGCTTTACGTAGAAAAGCCGCAAATGTAGGGACAAGTGCCAACTTCTCGTAAGTTAATGCTTTTTGAATGTAGTAATTGTGTATGTGCCCAAAGGAGGAGATGTTTCAATTTGGATAAATTTTTTACGATGCTGCTCTGCAGGATTAGTCGAACAAATCAGTGGCTGTTTGAAGGGACCGTATAAATCGATTTGGGAATGTATTGGGCCAAAAACTTTCCCCAGGGGTGGCCGAAGAATGTGTATCAGGGGTATAAAAGTTTACTGAACAAACCAGAGTCAAAAGTTGGAAACTAAAAACGCAAAATCCCTCCCTGCGGCGGTCGCATGCAAAAGAAAGGCGTCCGATTGGAGCAACCGCCGACAGATGACGGCACGTAAGATTGCAGGCGGGACGCTCGAGCCGGGCCCCCCTCCGGACGTCGTGTGCCCCGTTATTATCTGCAACTACGGCACGGCTCAAGCATACGGCGTGCAATCTCGCGTGCCGCCATCTGTCGGCTGTTGTGCCAATCGGACGCCTTTCTTTCGCAGACTGCCGCCGTAGCTCGGGATTTCACGTCTTAATGCGCAAGCATTAACAGTCTCATGGAGTGAGCTGACGTCGTCAGTTTGAAGCGCAAAAATGGCTCCTGGTTTCCACGATCCCAATAGGAGCGATTCGCCTTCGGTTCTATTAGCTGGTGCGCGTCGACGGGGCTCCCATTGGCTGCTGCGTCATGGCTCCGAGATCCCGAAGCGCGCTAGTACGTAGCAGATGACGAAGGGAGCAGACGAGCAGACGACAACGGGAGCAGACGAGAAAGGGAGTGAATGAGCAGACTAAAAGAGCGGACGAGCAGACGACAAAGGGAGCGGACGTGCGGCTTGCATGCTTTCGCATTCACAACTCGTATGAAATGCGTAGGTGTACCTCAAGCTTTTTTTGTTTCTAACCTTTTACTCCGGTAAGTTTCTTCAGTGACACCTTTTTACCCTAAATGCATGTCCTTCAGCCACTTCTCTAAAATATTGTAGCTCGATGCGATGACAAACAGATCTATGTGCTCCTTTCAAACAGCCGTCGATCCCTCTGCCATGTCCTGTAAGATGGAACGGTACAGCTCTATTGCAGCATGAAGGCTGCCATTTTGACAGAGTATTGTAATGGACGCACAGACCCAGATAGCACAATTCTCTGGGTCAAAAATTTTTTTTTTTAACAAACTTTACATCTTTTGGTTAGAAACTGGATATATTTTGGCCCTCTATTGCGCAGCAAGTGACAAAGTTGGGGCTTCATCGCTTGGTTGTTCAGTTACCACCTGGCTTCTCTGGGCCTCGGCTCACAAGGAATTGGCAGAATGAAGCTTTATTCCATTTCATTTATTTCGTTTTATCAAGCTTCACTGCTGGTCATTCAGTTGATATGCGGCATCTTTGCCTCGTGTCCTGCGTTTTTGTCAATGGTGCAACGAATCGGAGAAGAGCCAAGGAGAGGTACTTCGGTACTAACTGCCTGTTTATGTAAGAGCTTCCAATTGATGGGCATTACTGTGCTCTGAACCCTGGCAAGGAGCAAAAAAGTCTTGTTTAGTACAGACAACTTTATTAGAGCCAACCGTTGCTTTCTGCCATTGTTTTATTTTTGTGGAATAATTTGGACCCTCATGTCTCAGGTGGCCCTCCATTTGCATTCATGGCGACAAGTCGCAGTCTGAGAGGGACTGGGTGTTGAACGGTAAGTCGTCACTTTTCCACCTTGATCCGTCGTCTGCTGGAAACTAAAATGTGCCAATGAGTCTGTCTCGCTTACCAGTACCACACGGCAGCACACGCTGTCATCCTGTTGCACTATACTCGGCAACAACTTTCCTTGGCAATGCAATGGAGAGGAGGAGAGCCCGCGCACTGCTTTATTCAGCGCTCAAAATGGGAGGGGGACGCGTGCCTGTACCCTCCACTGCATTGCCAAGAAAAGTTGTCGCCGAGTATAGTAAACGCAAGGCCACACTAAAGCTCTGCAGACATGTTCTAAATACACACATGTGCGAAGCAAACATGCTTAAGGCATATCCACGGATAGTTTGGTTGTCATTTCTGCGGCGAATGCCGTGTATTTTGCGCGACGTGTGAGCAGTGCGACGGCTGCTTTAAAGTTGCGTCTCTTCGTGGCTGTGCGCGAAACAGCCACAAACGGCCCTTTGTGCCCTGGCGAGAGGTGAGCTTTCTTGGGCCGCCAGTTGGATGTGGCGCCGCATCTCTTTGCCGAGTGAACGTCGTCGACCGTCGAGAAACTTTTCAATCTGTTTGAGAGTCCACGATTGACTAGTATATTGGTGAAAACCGTTCACCTGCGCACAAACGGTGAGGGAGGACCCACCCCATTGGGCTGCCCGACCCGAGCATCGCTTCATCCGCCGGCTGATGTTGGCACGGGGACAGCAGCAGGACCCAATTTTCACAAAGGCGACTGCTTCCCTCGTGAAATAGCGGACGTTCGTAGTTGAAGTTGGCACTCGACCACGTGCTGCCTGCAGGACTCGATACGTAGCAGACGATCAGTGTTTTTTTCTTTTTGGTTCCTCTAGCAGATGATGCATAGGTATACTTTTATTTATTTTTCATCTGCAAATGACTCTTCGTAGCCGACAAACCCTCCGTTCCTTTCTCATGTTAGCGGACGAGTGGTCCGCTAACAACATTCTGGTTGGCTCCTCGAGAGGCAATTGAGGTCTTGTAGTGTCCAATATCCAAGTCCTGTGGAAGTTTGCCAACCTCTGCGGGCATTTGAACCTTTGGGTTTAACGGCCACAAGAGGGCTTTTCCTGGTTGCATACCCGGCTATGTGGGGACAAGAAACTAGGGGTACCCAGAACCGTATATTTAGAGTGGCCATTCATTGGGAAGTATAGGATACAAATGGGGAGGCATCATTGGCCGAAAGAGTGCTGGGCGTGTTCCACGTCGTCTTTACAAATTGGAATGCGGCTAACCAGAAGCCGGAAATAATGCCCTGGCGGTGGTCGCAAGAAACCAACTTAATAAGTGCATCGGAGTAACGCTTAGTGTTTCCGTCACGGACATTCAAAATCGTGGCGGAAGAGTGCGACTAGTCGAACGATCGACACAATCGGTACGCCAGGCACCGATGGCCGGGAATCTGCCGTCCAAGCGGTCACACTCCGTCCGAGCAAAACAGAGTTGAGTGCCGCATTCGTTTCTTACATCTTTCTGCATAATCATGATCGAAAACGTGCACCCTATTTTCAATCGTAAAGGGTTACTACATTTAACTCCTCCGTGCTCATTAAAACCATATACCCATGATAAAAACTTTCTCGCTTCCACTGCTAGGGGATTTTTTTCGGCCTCTCGTTGGCCAAGGGAGCATGTCAAGCCCTCTTTCTACGTCTGGTGCACACCTCGGCTCTGCCCGCGCCTCCCATTGATCAGGGTGTCTAGCGACCGGAGAAAACCGGGAATTGTCAAAGAAATTTTAATTACCGGGGAAAATCGGGAGATTGTCAGGGATATTGTCAAAAAGTGAGCCCTGTCAGGGAAAATGAGCCGGAAACACCATTGAGTTCCCTGAGCGAAGGCTCAACGACTTGGGGGCAGAAAGAGAGGCAATAAATTCTGCTTAGAGTGGAGCTCGGGTTCTGCTCACCCGATGTAGAGTATGCTACCCGATGCAAAGGGCAGAGCCAACAAATCCAATCCAAGCCTTGGATTGGATTGAGGGCGCGACACTAGGCTAGATTCAGTTTGAGCTGCTAGACTTTGTAACTAATGGGAAAGTCGTAGACCGTAACTTAATCCAAACCTTAAGCCGAAAGTGTGGATCTGGCGGCCATGCTGCGCCATTCGGTTATTGACATGTCTGGTTGAGTGTTTTCGTAGTGTTTCCGGAAACACTCTTTGCTGACGATGTCGGCGGCAAGAAAGTGCTCGTTTCTCCGTGGTGGACGAACCCGAATATTTCGGAATATGTAAATTGGATTAAGCCCGTGCAAAATTATCCTCGCAGTGTGTTGTAATTGCCTTATATACTTAACCGTTTCTGCAGTGGTCAGGGAATTTCACCTGAAATAGTCAGGGAAAACCTGGAAAAGACGGGGAATTTCAAAATAATAATTTGCTAGACACCCTGTTAAAGAAATGCGACGCGTGCATTGCTTTTTTTTTTTTGGTGGTGAGCACAGACAGATTCTTGTCTTCCAAAGTCCTGAGAGGTGTTGCTCTACCTGCCTCTGTGCTCCCGCTTAGCTAATTTTGTACCGCTAGATGCTAGCTTTTTTTGCTCAAGGTATGCTGGTTGTTGTTTTTGAGTCCTGGCCCTCGTTCCAGAGTTCCGGTCTGGACGGTCCCCCATCCTCGTGGCGACGGACGTCGCCGCCCGTGGTTTGGGTGAGCACACTGCCTTTCGAGTCTCTGCCATTTATAGCTTGTACGCTTCACGGGAAAAGGACGCCACTTTTTATGTTTCATTCCTTGTCGGTCTGTTGCTTCGTCCTCATGTCTTTGTACTTTTTTTTTTCTTTTTGGTTTTCTGGCCACGCTGGCTGCAAGTTCTCTTTGTGTACGTAACGAAGTAGTGCGCTCGTTGTCTTGGATGCTTTGTTTTATACCCAGTGTGGTGTTGCAACGTTTGACGGCTTTGGGCGGCACCTGTACCTTCGTACGGAGTGTGGTGCTTTTGCATGCAATCCATTCCTAATGGTGTCGGGTGCTTACTCTGCTTGGGTAGCGACATCTCCCTCCTCTGAATTAACAGGGCAACCGTGTTCAGTTGGTTGGCTTGGCACTGCACTCACGATGGCTTCTAAAGGGCTCAAAAGCATGTTACTGATGCTCTACTCTCTCTAATGTGTAAAGAGGTTTCCATGAGGAACATGGTAATCAAAGCGATTACCTATGAAGTTGTTTTTTTTTTTTTTTTTTTGCTTCTTTACCTTGTTAACTTAACTTTTCTTCTTTTTTTTTTTTTGCTGTCATTCTTTTTTTTTTTTTTTTAATGCTTTTAAGGTACTCTTAGTGTTGTTTTACACACCGGATTTTTCACTCTTCAAATCAAGAAAAGGCCAATTTGAGTTTCACAAAGTATTTGTTGGGAATAGTACTGGTTCTAAGTAAAGCCTTTTTCCTGTTGTATACAGAATATGCATAAAAGGTCTGCTCTGATAATTATGTAGCCAAGGCTCTAAAAATCCTTTCATTACGTCTTCAAGCTGGCTGGTTTAACGAATGGGCAGCCTGCACATTGCTTGCCATCTTTCTTTTCGAATGTTGACTTGTGTGCTTGCTTAGAGAATGGTTTCAATTTTGTTCTCATGCATGGGGGGAGGGGGGGGGGGGAAGGCACTGGCTCTATATTTTTCCTAGGCATCTTGACCATTGTATGTGGTCTGCAAATATTAGGAGCATCTTTTCCTGGCCCATGTAGTAGATGCCTCTTGGAGCACGCTTTTCTGGTTCTCTGCATCTTTGCCTGGTGCACTCTTCTGCTGTGGGCTTGGGTGTTCTTTCTCTTTGAGTATGGTTCCTGAACATTCTCTCAGGGACACTGCAGAACTTTATTTTTGCTGCTGCATGCCCATGCCCTTAGCGAATAGCAATAAACAGCATGCGGCAGGTACTCGATTGCTCGGTTCATTTTCCCATTGACAGGAGTATTGGCGGGCATTTTTTTCTGAACAGTCAATAAATGATGTCCGCTGCTTCAGGGTGGACCGAGCATTCTTGGCATTGTCCCCATGGTCTGAGATGACTGAGGACACACTTGCAGCAAAAGCTCGTTAATTTTTGGAGTCGCAGGGATTCTAAAATAGTGTGCATTTGACAAAGTTTCAACTAATAAAAGTCAAAGGAAAAGGGTCACATTTGTCGCCGGGTAGATCCGGAAACGCTCGGGTCCTTCGCCTTTCATTATCCAAAAAGGTGTGCAATCACATTGTTTTCTTGAAAATTGATGGTCATCACGTTCTGTGTGTGGATACAGCAGAAGGCGAGGGCCATGACCTCATAACCTGCAGCGCAAGTGGTCATACATGCGTTCTATATACCAATCACTGTGTCTAGATCTTGGCAGCTGAATCCACAAGCTAGCCGATGCTCCTAGCTTTAAAGGGGCACTGACACCCCAAGGGTCATTATTTTTGTTGTCTAAAACAGTGCAAGTTGTAGTTAGACACAAAAAAAATAACACAAAATAAAAAAGAAAAAAAATCCCCACACGGGCATGCGCTCCTTTTTATTTTTGGTGCTTTTCTCTTCCGTTTTTCACCACTCGCTTCTTTTTATTTGTGACGTAATCTATTATGAAATTTATAAGCTTTTTAAGTGACATTTCTATAATATTTATAACTGCATTCGTAAAACACATTCTTTAATGCAAGTCTGAACGCACTACGGCCCTTTTTGAAATACTGAAAATCCGAGTCTGAATTGATGTCGCCTCCTAGCTTTTTATCCTCCCTCAAAAAATATGCGAGCGCACGGCATGTGTGGCTCTGAAGATGGTGGGGGATCGGACAAAGTTCTCTTTGTAGGCACCCGACAACCTCACCTACCTCGAAAAGGAAATCGTCATACGGTCCAAGCAATTGGGTTTGGTGTCTGTGTATCGTAGTTTCGGATGTTACTCCACTGGGGCAGCTTTTCAAGCAGAACCGGCGCGACATGGCCCCTCGTCCACTGCGCGTTCTTTTCCACCTTACTCTGTTTCAAAGAATTCGAGATTGCTGAAAGGGCCCTTAAAAAACTTCAAACTCGAAGTCAAGCATCGTCTGCCCACAGCAATAGACAGCATGCATGGAGAAGAGCATTTGATTGCATGACGTGGGCAAATGCGACCCTTTGGGTCAAGACAGTCCAGAGGTGTGAGAAAAGCTCTAGGTACAGGACTAAATCTTTGCCGTCACTGCACGGGCGCAAATGGCGCGTGAACTTCAAATTCGGATTTTGAAAAATTATTTTTTTACTTCACAAATACTACGTTCCCAAGTTCCAAATTTTGAGGGTAATGTCCAGGCAATTGTTTCGGATAATAAAAGAGATGATTTTGACCTGTCAGTGCCCTTTTGAAGCATGCTTTTTTAGCGCAAGTACTGAGTCCCGTAAAGAACAGTCACCAGCGTCGACTTCACGCCCGGTGAAAACATAGCGAAACGGCAGCATAGCACAGCACTCAACCTAGGTCCGCCCGCGACATAACTTGGGAATCTCATACTTGGATGACAGCCGCAGAACAAAGGACTGTTTGAGCTGAACTGGACGAGTGCAAAGAGGGGCCCCCGCTGCACAGTAGTGCAGCCCTAAGCGATGGATGGATGGATATGGCTGAAGTCCCTAAATTGGGCAGCAACCAGTGCCATCCCGTGGTAGGTAGCGCGGCTAATGCAGTCGCATACGGTGGCGGATCCAGTTTGCGAGCAAAATGTCGAGCTTTTTTTATACGTGGACCCTGGAAGTTGGTTCGAATCGGGCAAAATGTTTAATAAACAATGCGAAAATTAACGAGCTTTCACTGTATTGTTCTTCGTTTTGTTTTAGCTGGCGGCCTTGCAGACTATTGGATGCCGTCATGCGCGCGGGGTCCCCAGAGGCTTAACCCTGTGCCTTCCTCTGTTCCCTTCCCCCTTCCCACTTCCAGAAGTGCTGTAGCCACAGCTCGGGAGAGCCGAGGTTTGGACTCCAGTCCCGATGTGCTCGCGTTGTCGGAAAACGGCCCGCGTCGCAGTCTAGGGCCGACGGCCACATTGCGTGCCTGCACCTCTTGTGATGGTCCAAGGGGTGGTGCTGGGGCGACCCTGGAGGGAAGGGAGAGGGAGTACTGCAGTCAAAAGGGTCTTTACAAAGTGTTGAGTGGTCCTTTTATAACCTAGGGTCCCTGGCCACCATCTTGGACATGCAGTTTCTGGTTTTGTTTGTGTACGGGTCTGTGTCTGGCCCGGACCTGGAATTATGGGAATCCCAAACTTGGGAAGATCTGTGCCCGCCTTATTATCCAGTCTGGGAGTATTTCTTTTGGCCTTACCTCAAGAATAACTCCCTTATGCGGGGTGTGTATTCTTCAGTAGGGGAGAATGAATACAAGGCTTGTCATGGTTCCCCAAAGATTGAGGAATGGGGTGAATGAGCGGAGGAAGCCAAGCAAAGCTTTCACTGGGTCTGCAAGCTAGTCCTTTCGAGCACACGTGTCTGCTCAAGCCCACCCAGGTGTAGGGATGTCTCGGTTTTTTTCTCTATCACGTAATAGCTAGAACAGTTGTGGATAACTGGGGGAGAGCTGCAGATACTTGCAATGCCACTCTGGGCTTTCATGGTGCCATTGCTCTGTAAGTAACTTTTTAGCTATTTTATGGGGCACTTCTATATGAGTGTTGAAGTTTCAGGCATGCAGAATTTTACAGATCATATACAATTGCAGGGAGAAGCACAGTTCTGAAGCGTTTCAGCGGTGAAGCCACTTGGCTGCAGCTTTGTTGAATCTGTGCAGCAAAATCATGCGAGGCATAATTCTTTGTGCTCAAGAGACCTAAGGTGTTTCAAGGAGAGTGCAAGTTTTGCATGCAAATCTGTAACTCTAGGTTTGCAGAGTATCAACCTCAGTTGGGCAACCTTTGCCAGAATTGATATGCGACTATATCAGTGTTGGAGATATGCATTTGACTGGAGTAACCTCATAAGTAGATAAAATGTGCCGCAGTAAAATTTGGAAGGATAGTGTGGAAGTTTGCTATGGCAACTACTGTGTCACCACATTTATGTCGAGCAGGGAAGGAAGTTTTTTGTTTGGTGCCATTTCCACCCTTATTTGTCTAGGGAATTGTGACTAAATTCCTGTTGTTTGGCCTCTATTGACGCCGGTTTTAGATTCTGTGAGCTTGTGATCGCGGGAACGGGCGACGAATCGAAGACTACTATCTCCTTCCCAGTGGGCATTGTTTGCTTATCTCCCGTCGAGACTGAGTAGCACCATTTCTGCTTAGGTCACCAATGGCCAGGACCCTGCAATTACTAAAAATAAACTATTTTGTTGTTTAAAAAACAGAAAAAATTTGTGCCAAAAATGGGTGCGGGTTGACCTTCAGAGGTGGGGCGTCTCTTGGGATATCACTGTAGCATCCCCGCAGAGGCGACGTGTCGCTTTCTTTCCGCTGACACCGCCCGGCGGCCCCGCGTCCTGTCCGCAGACGTGGACGACATCCGGTTCGTGATCAACTACGACTACCCGCACTGCTCGGAGGACTACATTCACCGGATTGGGCGGACGGCCCGGTCGAACAAGACTGGCACGGCGTACACCTTCTTCACACCGGGCAATATGAAGCAAGCCAAGGAGCTGATCGCAGTCCTGAAGGAGGCCAACCAGGCCATCAACCCCAAGCTGTTCGAGATTGCCAACATGGCTCGCAACAACTCCTACGGCGGAGGAAGGAACAGTGAGTCTTTGCCTCTTTACAAACTACTGCAAGAGCCCTGGGGGAAGGGAAGTGTGAGGATCACCAGTGATCTCTACTAGAGCTCCCCTACTTAAGGTGCACCCAGTGTCGGCACTTCGTTTCCCGACTCTTTTTGTAGGTGTCGTCGTTTTTGTGCATAGTGCAGAGCGGGTGCAACCGGCAATCGTCACATCTAGAAGATCCGACTTTTGACATTGTTCACCTTGTCACAAATGACAGAAAACACACCTCCTTTCATCGAAATGTTGCGATTCCGCCGCGTAATAGCGAGGCAAAAATTTGAACATTCTCCGACCTGCTGCCGCGAGCGGGGACCATGAGAAATGCGCGGCATGACGTCATTTGGGGTCTTGTAGACAGATAGCAAGTTGTGTGAATACCTGCTCGATAAAAGGTAATTTTTCTATAAATCTTGTCGTTCCAACATAAATATAAGCACGTCAAAAACCTGGTATCATCGACAAAACTTTTATTATACGGAGTTCTGGTGGCGCCATCTATCATAGGTCCACAAGACCATTGGGTCTATCTATCTGCTACCTCGAACATCTGCCAGAAGCCGGAGGGGGGTGGGACAGGGCCGGACGGGTATGGCCGGACCCGGATGAAACTTTCCTTCTTTCACCATATTGTTCGCGCTGTGCCCGCCAGCACGTGGTCACGCGGTCGCGAGCGGATGAGTTCTCACTGCTCACTGATGGCTCTAAAGAGAGAATTTTTCCAGAACCCCGCGCCTACCCCATCAACGTCGCTGCGCACGTGACCCGGAAGACGACGTATGAGTTGAGAGGTGGCAAAAACCTGGATCTTTTTCATTTTTTAAAAATAAAAACTAGGGTATCCAGGCAAAACCTGTTTTCTGTAGCTCACTTCAGAAGTGTCAGGCATCAACTTCCACAATTATTTAAGCAAAGCCCTGAAATTTTTGCACAGCTCCTTTAATCAGTGCAGTGTCACATCGCAGACTTCATTTTTGGCTCTAAACTTGCGCCAACTGTCCTCCTCTATACTTCTTCCTCCCCAGTCCATTTTCGGTTTTGAGCATACAGTGTAAACCACATATAACATATGTCCCGAGAGTCGCGAAAATCCGCACTATAAGCGGTACCGCGCTATAACCAAAACATCAATTTTTCAGGCCAAAATATACATGCCATGAGACAACTTACCTTTGTAAAATAATTTATTTTATCTTAGATGAAAAATAAAGCTTAGTTTGAGGAAAGTCTTTATTTCACCAGACTAGTACAGTTCTTTCTCAAGTGTGTCACACATTTTGAAAGGAATTAGCGGCTTTTGCCTGGCGCAGCCTTTTAACGGCGTCGCGGGTTGCGGACGGACGTTGCCAACGTTCAGGATTGCTAACCCTAATCACTTTTCTCCGGAGATGAAAACGCGTGAAAATTCGCATCCTTCATACGGTACGCGCCAGTAATACCTTGAACTTGAGCACACACATGAAATGCGCCAAATAAGAAATCCGGGCGATGTGCAAGGACACAAATGCTTAGAAATCACCACTGTAGTCGAAGTAAACAAACACGACGACACGGGCGTTTTTGCCGTCTTGAGAGCGCCGCCACGACATCGCCGCACGAGTAGGTGGATCTTCCCTTCTAGTACGTGCTGGGTTATCATAACGACACACAACGAAAATTCACAGTCAAGGATAGCGCTTTTACGCAGAACGATGAGATGAACGCCGTCTACGACGACGATCACAACCGACGCCATGTTTGCAGATAGAAGCAGCCGGCCCGCGACCGGCATGCAACGCGCGCGAACACTTCTCCTCGATCTGCGATTGGTCTGTCGGTGCGGTTGTTTGTTTCTTTGTTTCCAGCGAAGTGGAGGGGCGGAGAGACGCATGCACGTGAACGACACGTGCGTGCGTCCCTCAGTCGCTATGGCAACTGAAGCCTCTTTCTTCGCTTCTCTCCACTTCTTCGAGCAACGTCCTCGCCCCGCGCCGTCAGCGCCGTTATCTAGTGTCGCACAGGGAAGCGTGCTCGTTGCTCCGGTCGTCGGCACGGTCGGCGGGCTGTGCCAAAAACCGCACTATAACCGGTATTTCCCTTCGCGCGCCTGCATTTTAAGCGGTATGTAAATACATGGAGTTCTATGGGAGGCGAACCGGTAGTTTAAAAAAACCGCGTTATACCCGGTCCTGCACTATAAGCGGTTACGTTGTAAGTGGTCTATACTGTATCTGTTTTTTTTTTACTTTATTAAAAATATGCGTGGCGCTGTACCAAAATATTGATTGGGTAGTTTTTTGACGTAAAAAATAACCTGGCAAAAAAATTTAAAATCAATTTTGGGGACTGTTAGTGTTACTCTAACGCGTCTGCAAGAATTTGATGCTTTGCACATGCACACAACTGTAACAAGGTTTGTGTGCACACAGAAATGTACTGATTTTTCCATAAAATTTTTTTTTCTAATTCTACTTGTCATGCTAGAGGAATAGAACTCTTCAATAAAAATAACACTTTTAAATCACACAAAAAAAAAAAAAAAAGCAAAAGTGGCACTGAAGGGGTAGAATTGCAAATGCTGTCCTCGGTTTGCGTTGCTCCCTCTCTTAAATCCAATCCTTTAGGTGACACCTTTCTGTTTGCCGTTGCGTTGCAGTCCGACGCTTCCGTGTGCCCGGACAGCCGCTGGGTGGCTCCCAAGGAGACGGCGGCGACAAGTCGCGGGGCTACGGGGGCAACAGAGGCTACGGAGGCAGCCCCAACGGAGGGGGCATGCAGCCGCAGCGCAACGGCGGAGGAGGCGGGTACCGCGGGAACAGCGGCGGCGGAGCCGGAGGTCAGCAGAACGGCTATGGGAGGCCCCAGCAGAACGGCTTCGGGAGACCGCAGGTGGGTGCGACGGGCCGCCGTCGCAAGGAGCCTGCGGCACCCAGAAACAAACTAAGCGCAGTGATTTGCGCAAGATCCCAACTTGTCCCCTCTTCCGCCTTGTCCTCGTTCTCCACTGACTCCTCCGGATAACAAAGCCCCGGTGCGGAATTTTCGGGGCTACCTAAAGAAGGCCAACGCCGGGCGGAGGTCATTGGACACCGGTGGTGCCCCTGTTTGCCGAGGGTTTCCGTCTAGCGAGAACGCGAATTCCAGCTGCAGGCCGACTCGGCACATGTGTCTAACACGTGCCCTGTGTTGGCTATTTCTTTGTGTGACTCCGAAGATTGAGCGCTAAGGCTTCGTTATCTTAAGGTGTTGTCTCTGCACGCAGACACGTTCACGTGCTCTCTCCGTCTCTCGCTCTCTGTCTGACTTTCTTTGACAGCTTTGCCAGGTGGTGCGTCGAAAGCGCAGACACGTGATTCATGTTGTTGACACCTGATGTGTTTAAAACCTCAACTTGGCTGCTGTTTTCGCCCACAAATCATGTTTGTGTGGCTTAAATCTGATTTATTTGATTTGATTCGCTGCAGCCAGAACAATGTATTCATCACCGGATGTATTTTAAACGTGACAGACCGATTGATAGGTTCGCTCGATCATTGAAAACGGTGCAGAAGGCAGTTCAGGAAGTCGTAGCTACCGTAGAATACCAATCATCTACCCATTCCGTAATAACTGCCCACCCCTCACCTACTATTGCGTGGTGTTGACCTAAGGATCGGCCATCCCCCAGTTTGACATGATTATCTCGAAATTTTCGGCGTGCACTTGCTCAAGATCTTTTTGGTAGTTCAATTTTTTTTATGTAAACCACCCTGCCATGCTAGAACAAAAGCCATTTGATTTTTTTGGGCTAAAGCACGGGTCTTCAAACTCTATGGCTGAGGGGCTGAGTTAGGCGTCCGTCGCAGCCTCCAGGCCCTAGACATAGACAAGTAAATATAAATTTGAAAAAACACTAAGTAAATAGACACATTGTAATACAAAAATTACAAGTAAATGTATCCGAGGTGTAACAACATGTCTTACGAGTAATACAGTTCAGTATATGGTATAATTGAATATTTAGCTAATTATATTGTATAATAATTGTAGTCCAGAGACATCACCAAGCATAAATCGAAGCAATTAGGGACATGGCATATTTGCAAATGGCAGAAGACTAATAAATGATAGGAGTGATTATAGCAATATGCAAAACTTGTCACGCAGGAAAACGGAAAAGAATTTTAAGGTAATTACACATACATAATACGAGAGACTAAGAATGGAGATACTGTCAGGGCGACGTGCAATGAATAAGGCAGACAACTATCGGTGCGAAAAAAAAATCGAAAGGGATATGATGCGTTTGGTGAGCGTAGCATCGGCATTTCTTTGCAAGCTCTTAATTTGGCCATGAGTAGGGTGCAACAAGGTAGAGGGGCTTAGAGCGATAAACTGGCAGCTGAAAGTGACCCCCAATAGGCCGCCGCCATGTTGCACATTTTTTAACACTAGACGCTTGACCTTGTAGTTTTACATCTGGATTCTAACGAAGTATGGTGCACAAATACTTATTGATCTTTAATAACAGTACCGACAAGATAGGTTAGGGTGCTTTTTGACAAAAACTCTGTCATCTTCGCAATGCCTCCGCTAGATGCCGTCAACCGCAGTGCTTTATTTTGGTTTTTATCTGAGCTAGACACTGATCTCTGGGGCTAACAGTCGAAAAAATGGTTTATCGTGTTTTTTACGGTGATCACAATACAAATCTTGGCTCAGTTTTGCATGAAGGCCTCTGGATTTGGTATGGTCACACGTCTAGTGGTTAAAATTCTACAACATGGCGTCTGCCAGGAGGGGGTCACTTTTGCCTGGCGAACGGGGGTACCAGTTTATCGCGCTAGGCCCCTCTACCTCGTTGGTCAGGCGTCATTTGAAGGACTGCGGCCTGCCGCGAGCCGAGGTGTGGAGACTCTCGAGCCAGAGAAAAGGCTCTATTTGGTTTCGCTTCCTCTTTCTGATACGCTTGCAGTAGGACACGATGTAAGTGTAAAATAGAAAGATAGATTAACACTCCAATTTGCTGAGAAGAACCTCTTTTGCTACAAAGATTTTTTTCCTTCAATACAAACAAAATTTATATAGAGAGTGTTAAATGGTAGACACAATAAATATGTCTTTTTAGTTTTCAGGTAAAGATATGATTTAAATCACCGTAGTCGAATTGGTGGAAATTACGTTGAAATTTAAATTGTGACTTGAATCGAGGTGTAAATTGTGTATAGTTTTATTTTCCGCCCCTATTCTCAATCCGCTTCTGTTTCCAGATGCAGGGAACCGGACCGCCCAGCTACCAACGCAGCCCCGCCCCGCAGAACGGCTACGGAGGCCCCAAGCCCCCTCAGAACGGCATGGGCGGTGCACAGATGGGCGGCGCCCTCGGCACCATGGGCGGAGCCATGGCTGCCAACGGCGGAGGTTACAAGCCGCCGCAGAGGCCCTCCCCTCCGGCCAGCTCGGCCATGCACCACGCGCCGCAGTACGCGGCGGCGGGCGGCTACCGCGCCAGCCCCGGCGCGCCGGGCGGCGTGGCAGCGGGCTGCTACATGGCGCCGCAGCCGCACCACGGGGGCACGACCATGTACGCAGCGGCCGGCGGGTACGGGCAGTACCCACAGAGCGCGGCGGCCTACGTGCCGCCCAGCCTGTACTACCAGGTGCCGGCTTAATGACAACGGGGGGCTAGGCTGCGGCGCGCGGGAGGGGGGGAGGGGGTGGGGCGTCGTCGTCGTCGTCTTGTGTAGCGTGGTGGAGAATCTCTCTTAGGCTTCTGTAGTAAGGAAATTGTCTTTGGGGCAACGCAGGAGCCCTCTTCTCTCTTCTTTTTTTTTTTTTTCTTCATTAATTTTTGTAATTTAATATTTTTTGGGGCCGGGCACGGAAGTAGCGGGTTGGTCGGTCGCGCGACGGGCTTGCCCCGACGTCGGGCGCGACTCTGTCCATCGTTCAAGCTGGAGGGGGAGAAACTGTCTTGGCCGGCCGGTGGCGTCTGATTCTCCGGAAGTTGTCCCTGAATGTTGCCGGTACGTTGTTTGGACGTCGAGGACGGTGGCCTTGTCTGGAGAAGGCGTCGGCGCCTGCGGGACCACTGTCGCACGACTCGGAGGCTGTCTGCACTCGTCGAAACTTTGTCGTTTCGGTCATCGCGAATTTGCTGGCGAAAACCATCATCATACCACAGGTGCACATTGCTTTGGGGGGGGGGGGGGGGGGGGGGGGGGGGGGCATCGTCTGAACTGTGGCGGCGTCTCCACTAATCTCGGGGAACCGAACCGCCACGCTGTTTGTACGTTGGAAACTGTGGAAACCTTTGTCCGAATGCTTGGGACTGCCGGAACCATCGTCGTTTGACTGCGTGGGGGCCGTTGAACGTTCCCGACGTTTGAAAAATGTGCTCACCGACCTCGGGGTCGTTCGAAACGTTGGGTACGTTCTCCACGTTTTGTAAGTATGCTCGCCGACCTCGGTCGGAGGCCTCGTCACATGGGGCGCTTCCCGAACGTCTCGGGGAGTTTTCTAGCCCGTCGGAAACGCTCCAAACGTTCGACGTCGTCTCTCGGAGTTGCCTTAGGTCGTGCGGGACGCCGTCTGCCCGTCGGCGCCCTGTCGAGCTTTTACTCAACGTTCCAACCGGGTCTCCTTGTCATCCCCCGAGCCTTCGAAGCGGGGGTCTCGGTACGCACGAGAACCGAAGGTTTTGGGCTCTCTTGCGGCGCTCATCAAAGTGTTGTCGACTGTTGTTTTTTTTCGAGTTGGCCTCCGTATAGAAACTTTCACGCCGCGAGCTCTCGGGCCAACCCTTTGGGCAACGATCTCTCGTGCAGCCGGCGGCCCTAGGTCTGGGTCGGGCTCCTAGGCTGCCGGTCTTTTGAACGGGTGGGAGAGATATCTATGGAAGTGGCGCTGGCCGGAGCGGGCCACCTTTACACTGGCCGCCCGGCGTTTTCATACCGCAGAGTCAAGAGTGCGTCGTTCGACGGCGGCGCATCGGCGCCCCCTTCTTTCTTTTTCTTTTTCAAGGGGATGCACTTGCGGCACGATACCGGTTCCTTGTGGCTGCGTCCGTTTGGGTGCGGTCCAACGCGTTGTGAATATACCGGGATTGGGAACAGTATCGCGATGTCCTCGCGGACTCTCAGCCACTTAGACTCTCGGCATTTCCTGGTGAATTAAAGAGGAAGGATACAAATCGCGAGTCTGGGTACGGTGTGATGCCTTAGGGGTGCGTCCCGCCGGAGAGATTTCCTGTGTTTTGCGTTGTTTGTCCGTCAGGGGGGATCTATGGTCCTTCTTTTACACCTTGCATTTCGACATCGGCCAGTGCGTTTGCCACGCGAGTTTCGTATTCCCGTCAATCTCATTCTTTCTTTTTCTTTCATTTCTTTTTTTCGGTCTGTCTGGGAGAGAGCATTCCTGCCTGTAATTTATACCGCAAGCACTCGTCTTTATCGTTAGTTCCTCGAGGGTTTTTTTCCGTCGAGCTTGGCCGGGCATTTCCGCAGGCAAGACGAAGAGAAAAAAAATACCAAGTACCATCCACGTAATCTTTCAATACCAGTCTTTTTATGGCACTGGGCAAGCAAGCAAACAAATGAAAAAAGGAGAAAAAAAAATGTACTGCATACAAAACTACAAAAAAAAAAATCTCCGCTTCAATGTTGTGTGTATATGGGAGTTTCTTTTATTGATCTTTTCTTTTTTTTTCCAGAACTGTGTGGTCGTGTAGCACTCTTTCTGCCAAATCATTCTTCGGTTTTTTGTTGTTTTTTTTCTTCTAGAGGTTGTCGCTTTTGTTTGTTGGCAGACTGTTCTTTCTTGGGTTTGTGTGTGTGTGTTCCTGTAATTTAAGTGTGTTCCTAAATGATGCCTCAGGCTCGAGGGAAGGGGGTAGAAAATACCATGATGACCAGTACCAGTTAACGACCAGTACCAGTTAACTACCAGTACCAGTGATGAGGAGACCTGGTGGGGAGTTCTTGTACATAACCGTGTACATAAAGTGAAGTGTACCAAAGCTGCCACCAGGCATTTCCTCACCTCGAGTGAGAGTTCAATCCTGTTTTGTTCTGTTCTTTCGCTTCCCCCCATTGTGTAAGTACTGAGGCTCATATTTTGTCATGTTTAGAGAAGTTGTGGAATAAAGTTCTTGTGTAGCAACTCTTGCACCTCTTGCCGTTTTCTGTCACTGATTTCTTTTTGCTACAAAGTCAAGTTGAAAGATTTTTTTTTTTTTAGATCAAGTTGTGTACGGGGGCACCTAGAGATGCCGACTAAGCCACGCTTCAGAGTGTTGTTGCCCATTGCCTACTGCTTTCTCTGAAGTCGCAGAAAACTTCCAGTCCTCCAAAATTGCTGAAACGGTAGCAGACTGCGGAAACTCGCACCGTTCTCGGAAAACTAGAAAGTCAAACTCTGCACGAAGTCCCAAAATATAGTGGCGGCTACTAGAAAATCCTTGAATTGAAGTGCCCATACCCGAAGCATAGCTTATTTACTGTTTCTAGGCAATGCAGAGTGAAAGTTTGCCTCTTGCACAGGGGTTGTGATGATGGCTGAATGCCAAGCTCTTGTTGACCGATTAAAAAAAAAAAAAGGGGGACATTTACAGATCTCTACAGCGAAACTAGATCAGTCTTTGAGCAAGAGCAGGGGAGGATACGCCCCCTCTTACTCCTTTCCCCCTCCTTTCCCGTCGCTAAATTTGTTCATGGGTGACGTGACACGAAGTCGTGACATCATTTTCCCCGCCAAATTTACCAGGGAAACTGAATTGGAGTTGAGATCGCGCGACGTCAATTTTCCCACATAATTTAGCGGGAAACTTGAAGGGATACTTCAACGAAATTTGAAATATATCCGTCGTGTTCAATAATAGGTTGAATATGATCCACAATATCCATAAATGACAATCGCACGTTTGTATTTTGAGCCTGGTGGCTGTATTTCTTGTTTTAAACTGGCCACTCTAGCAAGCGGTCGGAGAAGGCCCAGCTTGGAGCACGTGACATTGGACACAATCATGACGTAGGTCGTCTCGGGACGGGCAAAGCTACGCGGAAACTGACGTCGAGAGGATAGCCTAGTCGTTCCAGCCACCGAAGCGGCTTCTTTTGTATGAATTTTGAGTGACTGGTTAATCTTTTATAATCTTGTAGGGGGACAATAGCTACTTCTGGAACACACAAAAGGGATTCTCGGGAAGAAGGGAGTTCCTTCTTCCCCTCTTCCCTCGTCGTGGCCGGAGGCGAGACACTCGTCACTAGCTGTCAAGGTTCCTAGACTGGCATTCCAATCGAGGCTTTAGCGACGTCCACCAGGTGCTCCTTGCTAATCGTTTAATTCATTTTAAAATTCCTTTTCGTGACTTTTATAACAAAATATTGGTGTGTTCAATGTGATATTGCTCCTTTGAACACATATAGACCATAAAATAAGCACTGAAATTTTGTTATAGTATCCCTTTAATCCGCTAAAGTTAGTGGGGAAATTTTCCTGCTAAATTTAGTGAGAAAACTTTCCCGCTAAATTTAGCGAGAAAATTTCCCCGCTAACTTAGCGGGGAAACATCCCATATTGCAATGTGTGTGGTTACGGTGACGCCGCTCGACCCAGGAACGGGCAGCTAAGAGCTGCACTCTTAAAATACTGGGTAGGCCTTGAGGCATCTAGCATTAAGGTCTACCCGCTATCCTTTCAATCAAAGTCAATGAGAGCTTGACGTGCTGACATCACCGCAACTCCTGTGCAAGGAGCAGACAACTTGGTGTTTGAAATGTGTACTACATTAAGCGTGGGCGTCTACAGAGCTGCTTTGAAAGGTGTCTAACCCTATCTTGAGTGGAGGAGTAAAGACATTTTTACTTAGGAGCTAGTCTAGAATTACAGGACAAAAATGTCGCTGTGGCAAGCCACAAATGGTCAAACAAACACCGTAATGTTTTAGTAGGATCGGAGTCCTTTGTTTTCATTCTGATTTAATGACGGAGATGAGAGTAACATTCTACGGCCTACTCTGACGGTATTCATTTTGAGAACCCGACGGCTTCAAGTTTCCGCCGTGCTTGCTGCACATACCGTCAATTGCTTGTCGTTCACACTTGATAATCCTATGCAGAGCGCAAGTTTGTCTGCTGCTTGCACAGGAATATCAATGATGTCAAAACGCCGAGCTCTTATTGGCCGATTGAAAAAAGAAATGGTAGACCTCAAGGCATCTAGCCTAGAGGTCTACCCACTGTCCTTTCAATCGAAGCCAATTGGAGCTCGGCGTTCTGACATCATCGCAACCCCTGTGGAAGAAGCGGACGACTTGCTCTCCAGACTGCTCGTACATTGTACAGAAAGTATGGTATTTGCTGCAGACATATTGATGGTTACCTGCGGGTACGCCTTGAACATCTTAGAGGCATGTTTGTTTCATACATTTGTATGCTTTGGACATTTCTCCAGACATTTTGTCAACCCTCCCAGAGTGTTAGGGGGGGCAGGGCTGCAGGCATGTGCCTTTTTAATCTACATATAGACGAGCATATTTCTGCGCCTGTACAAGAAGGCACATCTTCCCTGTCGTCGCACAACTACCAAACTCTGGTCTAGTAAACGTTTGCCCTGCCACCAGAAAGTGGTCTCTTCTTGTATGGCAAGGAGAGCAAGTCATCTCGTGATTTCACAGGAGTTGCGGTGACGTCAGAATGATGCCGAGCTCTCATTGGCTTTGAGTGAAGGGATAAGTAGACCTTAACGCCAGATGCCTTGAGATCTACCCAATATTTTTTTTTAAATTGGTTAATAAGAGTTTGGTGTTCTGGACATGATCGGCAACACCTGTGCAAGAAGCAGACAAGCTTGCTCTCCACATGGCAAAACTGTTAACCGAGGCACTTTTGGGACGTGTGCTCGTGCCTTTTTAGCTATGGAAATCTCGAAATGAAAGAAAATTTTTCATTAACTGCATGTTGTTCGGAAGATAGAAAAAACATAATGCCGCAAAAAGAGAATGGTGTGTTTTGGCCAGTGGCGTAGCTAGGCCATCTGGCACCCGGGGCCTTTAGGTCTTTTGCCACCTCCCCCCCTCAAGACCGCAAAGCTAAAAGCCATAACCGCAACGCGAGGTCACGCAGCGATAACGAAATAATAAATAGAGGGTTAGCCAGCAAACAGTGTTTTTTTTTAAATTTTATTTAACTATGTACACATAATGAGGACACATGGAAGTTTTTTTTTATATTGAGCATTTGTGTAACGAAAGCTGAACATTCAATTTCTTCATAAGTTCTTTTGCCGACACTTGGCTTCTGCAAAGTTACTGATTACTGTTGTAAAAGTTATGTTTTTGACACGTTCTTCTTTTATGGACAGTATCGACAGGTTTGAGAGCCTTTCATCGCTCATGGTGGCGCGCAGAGACGTTTTGATTAGATTTAGCTTGGAAAAGTTCCTTTCGCATGAGGCAACTGAAACACAAATGGTGAGGAACAAGCGAAATATAACAGTCAGGTTTGGAAGGGTCTCGAAAAAGCTCCATTTGGCAATAAATTCTAGAAACTGCTTTGCATTCCAAGTTTTTGTGTAAGACCTTCGTGTGATTTCTTTCTTCGTCTGGCGCCTTCTCTTGCTGTCTCGGCGCAGTGCGGCTGTGGTCGGCGCAAGCCAGCGTCGTGTTGCGCCGGGTTTGGCGTAGACTAGGTGGCGTTGGCTCGGCGTGCCCGGGCACAGCTCTTTCTCGAGTGCTCCCGCACTTTCCGCGCTTGTTTTTTCCGCCAGTGCGCGATGGTCTTCGCGCGAGCCAAGCCAGTTTTTCGACTCTGCACCAGACACGTTCATGATGGAAGAGTGGTGACCTCATGCGTCTACACATTCTTTGCCACTTACGAACCAGTCAAGCCGGGGGGATTTCCGCCATAAGTGGCACCCCCCCATCGTGACTGGGACTCCTGGTACCCGGGGCCCACAGCCCCCCGGCCCCCCCCGTTATACGCCGCTGGTTTTGGCTATGGGTAAACAAACTGCATCGCAGAAAGCTCAAACTCTGAAAACAGAACGCTGGGGGTTGGGATAGAACACGAAAGTTTGGGAACATGACGTTACCTATATTAAAAGATTTTGGAGTGCAGCTCTTGGGCATTCGTTTCTGGGCTGATAGTCGTCAACGTAACCACGCGTGTCGCATTATGGGAAATTGTCCCCCTAAATTTAATGGGGAAACCTAACCGGCTAAATGGGAGGGCAGCAGGCGAGGGGGAGGTGCATGCCCTCCTCTCCTCCTCAAGAGCTGCGCTCTAATTCGGCATTACAAAAATTGTAAACCTTTAATTTTTTTTTCTTTTTTAAGCCGACGTTATAGAGCGCTGACGAACGCGCGTGCAAGATGCCATTTGTTTCAGGCTTTTTCTTTAGAAAAGTTACCATTTGCTGAGGCCAGCACATGCGGCGCTTGGAACACCAATGCCTGCATTCTCCTTAAAGGGGTTATGACACGAAAATTAAACGGATAGATTATTCTTGAAATGGAATGCTCATAGGCTACTTAGCATATACACCAAGTTACGCAATTTTTAGAGCTCTGATAATTGCAATATTCAATTTACGAATTTTTATAATTTTCATCTGGCGACCAGGCAACACTGCTCAAGTTAGTCACACCATGGTGTCCATAAACCACGTGACCATGAACACTCTCATTCTAGGCGCCCCCATGATCGCCCAAGCTCTTCTCGTCGCGGTCCGAACAAAACCGCTCAAACAGCTCGGTAAACTGAAAGCAATTCTCGCTCTCGCCCTCCGGCCGGTTGACCTTCCACCCTGCATGCGCCTGCGAGACATTCCCGGACGACGGTGACCACGGTGAACTCGTCATCGCTGGAGCTCGTCGCCAGCGGGTCGCAGTCAAAATGAACAGCTTCCAACATCTCTTGATAGCAATCACTCTCATCGCTGCTGCGATTAATGTCGAACACTTCGACAAGGCGATCGATGCCGTAGACGAAATCGTCACAGACCGGATGCTGGAAACATGGAAGGTAAACGAGAGAGCTGAGGTTCGATACGCCAAGAGAGCCCAGTCTGTCAGTGCGTGCAAGTAGACACCACGCTGGAGGCTGGCTACGTCATCAGCCTCCAGGTCCGCCCGGATCTGCCCCTCCAAGGGGCCCGCATATAAATCGATTTATCCACGAAATTATCGCGCCTTTTTCAAAACAAATTTAGTAGGATTATAGGAACATAGAATGGGTCCTAGCAGTATAGTTATGTAATATTTTATTTTTGGCGTGTCATAACCCCTTTAATGCCTGGATAATTTTGCAATAGGAAGTATTCACTGGCGGCCATAGCTGTGTGCGCGACTGCTAAGCGCGTGCTGTCGGCGAGCTTCCACAGTTCTCTTGCAACGTGCCTTCCACACCATCAAGATTGCTGTTCTTAGCAGCCTATTATGTGAGTTCGTTTTGGGCATGTGCTTTAAACATCGCCCTCAACTATGGTGCCGGTACTTTGTCGTGCTGTTTAATTGGCCAAGATACCAGAATTAATGAACTGACAGACTTCATTTTCTACCTAGATTTATACCCGTACCCGCAAAATGTGGTTCGTCATGCATGTTCACAGTGCATGTTAAAGTGTCACGGGCAAGGTCACGGGACTAGAATTTTCTTTAGAAAAACAGTCGCAAGTACCCGTGAAATGTGCTTCGTAATGCGCGCGCAGTGGTAAAAAATAAAAGTATCGGGGGTCTCTGCTCCGACCTCGGCAAACTTATTTTTTTTTTTTTTTTGTTCCGGTCGATCTTGCAACGTTCGCACAGACTACAGACTAGACAACGGATAGTGCGCCGGAATGACGTCACTGAGCTTTACTATGCGAGCAACGGCCTTGACAGCATGATTATCTTACAAGCTTTTCGCTTTTTGCATTCCTTTTTTCCACCAACAAATTCCCCCATGAAAAAAAGTAAAAATCACCAGACGTGAAAGAAAGGAGGCCGGCACATTGTGCCGCTTATGCGTCTCTCTCCCCCTCTAATTGCTATCTCTCCGTCGAGTACGTCTACATGGAATATTTCCAAACCACACGCAATACACCTGCGCCGCCAAAAGTAAAAAGATAAAACCGGCCGTAGCGTGTCGCTTCCGCTGCAAGCCTTATGACACTTCTACCACCGCGAATCAGAAAATAATCCGCCAGACAGTGAAGCCTTTCTACTCATAAAAACAACTGAATAATTATTGTATTGCCTTATTGAGCACGCAGATATTTTCCTAACCTCTTTCAAGCGACTAGAGTTTTGTCAAAATTTAGTTTTGTTATTTATGAGGCGGCCTTTGTCAGGGAACTACTTGACATTTCCGCAACATCTCCCTCCGCTTATCACGAGCCGTCGGTCCCTGCAACTAAAAGCATTGGCGCTACAAACTCTTGCAAAAAGTTAATTACAGAAACGTAAAGTAACACAAGATGAACGGACGCGGTGGAACTCGGTAAGTGTTCTTCTTTTTGAGACTAATCACGGCCGAAAGTACCTCATATTTCGAGAAATACTTCAATTTTCGAACGGGCCGGAACGCCGTTCATTCATTCTGGCTTCCTCGCTGCGTGCTTAGGGTTAAGAACAGCGCATTGCCTTGGTCTCCTTCGAAGAACTTAATTGTGAAGCCATGGAATATCGGCTTTGAGTGGTCCTCCTCGAAAGATTTGCGCTGTGTAAAGCTCGTGGAGGACTAATTTTGTCAAAACTCGCCATTTTGACCGGAATTTGCGTTAGGCCTAGTGGGGCGCTGCAACGTGGCCCTTTCATTCATTTGGCGTGACGACTTTAGGTCGTTCGTCACGAATGAGACTTTGGGTTCGCTGTTTTGACGTCAGGTCTCTTGATTTACAAAATCACCGGCGTTTTTTCGGCTCTATTGACAGTGGTGCTCGAGATGCCGGCCGGTTCTATTAATGCCGGCGTCTCGGATTCTCAAACTATCGATCGTCGCACGTCTAGACTGGTTGAGGTTGCCATGACGGCGTCGCGTTCCTGGTTGGTGCTGATGACGTCTTTGTGGACGTAAATGGCACAGCTCGATATCAAGAAAATTAAAATTTTTTTTCTTTGGGGAAATGTGTTTAAGCATGTAGCGGGTTTATCATTCGAAAAAGAAAATAAAACTGTGACTCATCCGTGCATTTTTAATCTGGCTTTTTTCTTTTTTTCTCCCTCATAAGAATGTTTTTTTTATTTGTTTTATCGCCAGCGTGGCGGCAACAAGTGGTTTTCGGCGAACAGGCGGTGCGCGAGGCCTTCGTACGTGGTTCCGTAAAACGTGTCGAACCCATTCTAAATAAAAAAAAAATCTTGGAACATGCCAATAAAACGTCGGGCGTGAGAAAGAAAGTGGCCGTCGCGCAAGTTGGAAAGGAGCGGTCGTTCGATGACTAGGCGGTCTTACGTAATCTGGCCGCTTCGTCGTGCAACGTTTGGCATGGCGGAAATTGCAGACGCTTCTTTGAGCGCCATTTGTTTCTTCCTACAGAAAAGCGCAGTGTCCATCGCTGTGGTGGCCTTGTGGTTTGTCTTTGTGACGTTTGCGCCCCACGTGCAGACCACAGGGGTTTTTCTTTCAGGGAAAGGCTTAATGGGTTGGGTTTAGTAGTGTGCTCAACTGGTTAAATATAACCCGCGAGTATCAGAGAATCTGCTTGCGTCATCTGTTGGCAGCTTGCACCACTGTTTTCTAGGATTGCACTCCCAGTATGGATGCGATGACCAGTGCTTGCTGTGAAATGACATAAAATAAGGTCTTGGATTTTTTTTTTTTCTTTGTGTTTGCACTATGCTAGCTTATATGTAGCTTTTGTATAAAAAATGTTGTACATTGATTGCATGATTTAGTGTGCCTAAAATGAACCTTTTGCTGTGGTTTTCAATGTGTATTGAAGATAACAGCAAGGCAGTTGTTGTCAAACGCTGAACTGGGTGATGAAAAAAAAAAGTGCTGAGGTCACCAGGAAAAGAAAGGGGGGGGGGGGGGGGTCCTTCAACTTGTGTAGGCAGCTAGAGCACTACATAGCTCCTACAGAGCAGAGTAGTGCAATCCTTTGATCCGCGTGTTTCGCCGACAACATGGCAGACAGAGCAGGTCGGCGCGAGTCACATGGTACTCAGGGTTCCAAGAGGCGGTTCACTCTATGGGAGAATACATGGAAATTGACTCAACACGGCTGATTAAAAAATAAACGCCGAGTTCACACTTTCCGAAACTAGTCTGTCGTGAAGTTGGTAAAGCACTAAACACTTTATCAAAGTTTTAATATTGAATGCGTGTGAAAATTGTAAGAAGGCAATTTCCAAGGCAATGGCGTTTGAGGCAGGTGATTGTTTTGCGCAGCGGAGATGGACTTTATGGATTGGCCGGAGCGGGTCACGTGAACTGTGACGTCGCCGCGTCGTCTGCTGCATGATGCCCCTCAAGCATTTTTTTAAACAAATTTCGTTATTACATGGCGCACAACTTAGCGCAAATTATTGTAAACTCTTCCTTTATTGTGTGAAAAACTATTGTCGTTCCGTACATCCCTAATTCCATTGCCACTTCAGTGCATTTGTAGCCAATCCTTCAGGAGATAGTGCTAATTGTGACCATGTTTAAGTAACGAGTGAGTCTTAAGACTCCAACAGCCTGGACATCGAATCGGTTTTAGCTAGTCTCCCTACTGTACGCCACGCCAGAGACCTCTGCTTGGTGGGTCTGCTGGAGCCAATGGGAGACAACATTAAAGTGATATGTCAGGAAGCAGCTGCCTTTACTGTTGGGCTAGCTGTGCCAAGAACATTGACATGCACGGCACACTGAGCTAGCCACAGTGTGGGAAAATCCAAAGTGGTGGGGAATTTCCTCGACCCTGGAATGTAAACAGTGCTTGGGGAAAATTTCTGAAAATAATTTTGCATTATTATATGCTTTCACATACTTGAGTTCAAACCTTAATGTTGCTATGGTTGGGGGCAGATAATGAGTTGGGGGGCAAGGGAAAGGAAGGGCTAGGGAGGAGAAAGCAGGTGGAATGCTGGAGCAAGGGGGATGTTTCCTCCTCTCCAGCAGTCTATCTGCTTCCCCCTTTTCTCGCCCCGATTTCTCAGCCTTCTGCCGGCTGTAGTATTCCGGATTGTCTTAGAATTGGAACTTCATCATTCTTTTCATACTTATGGTTTGCTTCATATTTGGTTAATTACTGTGGATCACTAACTTAATTACCAATACCTTGTTGGTCAAAAACTTTTTTCTTCCTGGTGTCCAGAAACAGCTGAGGCCTTTAATTCAGTATAATTGTGCCTTACCTTTGGGAACCAGTGCAAGTTTCAATTTCTTTCCTTTGTAAGCTATCGGACTTTATTGTTGATAATGTTAATATTAAGTTCCTTTTTTTTTTTCGTCTAGCTGAATTTTGCGTTTTTGTTTAACAAAGTTGCTTAGTCACAAGGTATATCTGGTTTTGTTCTCTCTTAAGAGGGTTGCTTTTATCCGTTGCATTTAAAGTAAATTGAAGATTGCACACATAGGTGCTGAAAGGACCATCTGGAAATTTAAGCTTTAAATTCAAGATATTTTGAAATGACTAGTTTTGATATGCACCTCAGAATCTTTTTTTTTTTTTTTTTTCTCACTTAGACAAGGATGTCAGCACAGATTGCTTTAGTTTCGACATTATCATCCAATTGCAATGATTTAATTATTTTTTGGGCACATAGTTTCCTTTAAAGGGATAGTGAACCAAAATTTGGATTTAAAAAAAAAAAAAAAACAATGCTGGAGATGTAGGCGGGACACTACAGTCCCTACAACACTATTAGGCGATATCTCAAATGGACAGCTGTATTTTTGGAAAAAGAAGTCGAGATTGAACCAGGCCGACGAGGTGCGTGACGTCAATAGACCTAGTGTTCTCCCCTCTTCGCTTTGCTCCCTCAAGGCCGCGAGGCGAAGAAGACGCGAGGCCGTACCCTCTTCTCGGAGAAACATGACGTCAACATTCCTGCCAAATGCGCCTTTTTTTTTTTTTTAAATACGGTCATCCGTTTGAGATATTGCTGTATGAGTGATGTTTTGGTGTTTGTAGCATCCCGTTGCATGCTTTTGCCACGTGTTTTGGGGAATCTAGATTTCCGTTCAGCATCCCTTTAAAGCAGTGTAGGGTTTACGGTTAAATTTTTTTTTATTTTCTATTTAGAACATAGTAAATATTTTTTTCTCCAAGACTGATATAGCAATGGAAGGGTATGAATAAGGTGAAGCAGCTTATAATCCTGGCACAGATACTTGACACCTTTTGCTCTACAGCTCTTATGTTTTTGTGAAATAGCTGGGAGATTAAGAAATGTCCTTGAGAGGGGGGTGCGGCCCGAAACTTAAAGACAATTTTCCCCACAGTGACTTTGGCAGCAGCTGGGGCGGTGGAGGAGGGGGTGGCAACCGGGGTTCCGGCAGCTACCGCAACAGCCAGCCTGGGGGCAACCTGCGCAAGCCAGACTGGGACCGCATGCAGCTGCAGCCCTTCCAGAAAAACTTCTACCAGGAACACCCCAACACAGCCAACCGGCCCATGTCGGAGGTGGACGCCTACCGGCAGGCCAACGAGATCACAGTCAAGGGACGCGAGGTGCACAAGCCCATCCTGCGCTTCGACGAGGGCAACTTCCCTGGTGAGCAGGGACGAGGATTTCACGGTCGTCGGCGAAACAGGAACGGCGGGACATAATTACGGCTTCCTGCCTTTAATAACGCTTGGACATCGCGTGAGCCTCGAACGTGCATGTGCAGCCAAAGCACAGCGAAAGGCAGTCACGCATGGGGGAGGCCACGTCCTGTCGTCTGCTTGCGCCTTGCCTCGGCGTTTCCAGGTAGCCACAAGGCAGGTGCGAACCATAGTTTGTCGCTCGTGGTGCCTTGAGCCCAATTTCAAATAAACAAAGCTAATCCTCGTGCTAGCGACCGCTGCTGCTCACTGACTATGGGCGTCTGATTATTGTTGTGGGACTTGGGAAAAACCAGCCGTGCCGAGCGCTAGGGGCGTACGGGCAGGGGTTTGGGTCGACTCCTGCTGCTTCCTTCCTAGTTTGCATGGTGCCAGGGACGCCCGCGACGTATTGTGGTGGTTTGTGAAGCTGTCCGCTATGAACCATTCCAATAATCCTTGGTGTGCCGCCATCTTTGTCTAAAGGGCTTCGTGAACCATTTTATCAGTATGCCGAGTACAAAAAGTTTTGCAAAAACTGCGGTAGCTCTCTTTTTCTTTGCGTGGGTGACATGCTGGGAAGGGTGTTCAAATAAAGGAACCTGCCGTAAAATACCAGGGGAGCGCCCATTTCAATTTCACTCAAAACTGGGTTAATCTAAATACTGGTGCTTGTTTGGTCAATCCCCAAGTTTGGGAATTGTTGATAGTGGACGCTTCTACGGTATTTTGCTGTAGTTTGGCATTGCTGTCAGCAATTGTTTGAGACCCACTTATTGTACTGTACGATTTAAGAATTGTGACTGGGGATAGTCTGGACATCCACTGGGCCCTGCTGTGATGATCTACTTCCTTTTTGGAATTACCGTTTGAGCGCAGCTCTGAAAACAACCCACACTGGCTGCTATCACTTGTCTGAGATGGGGCCCCATGGATGTGCGTCATTGTCTTTGATTCCGGCAACCCCACTTCGCTTCTGACGGGGCGCCGTTCCTGATGGCCTTGGCCTCTCTTTTCATTGCAGACTATATAATGAAGGGCATTGAGGCCCAAAAGTACACCACCCCGACCTGCATCCAGGCCCAGGGGTGGCCCATTGCCCTGAGCGGCAAGAACCTTGTGGGCATTGCCCAGACGGGTTCCGGCAAGACCCTGGGCTACATTCTGCCTGCCATCATCCACATCAACCACCAGCCCTACCTGCAGAGAGGGGACGGCCCTATTGCACTGGTGCTGGCACCCACCCGGGAGCTGGCCCAGCAGATTCAGCAGGTCTCCTCAGAGTTTGGGAAGGCTTCGAGAGTCCGCAGCACTTGCGTCTTCGGAGGGGCCCCAAAGGGCCCACAGCTTAGGGACATTGAGAGGGGTAAGTCCTCCGGCCAGTGGAATCTTCTTGGTTTGACACCTCACCGTCCTGGACAGATGAACTTTCTTGGTCTAGCACCTCACCGTCCTGGACAGTGGAACCTTCTTGGTCTAACAACTCACTGTCCTGGACAGTGGAACCCTTGTCTAAAAGCTCGCTGTCCTGGACAGTGGAACCCTTGTCTAGAAGCTCGCTGTTATGGACAGTGGAACCCTTGTCTAGAAGCTCGCTGTCCTAAACAGTGGAACCCTGTTCTAGAAGCTCACTGTCCTGCACAGTGAAACCTTAGCCCGACACCCCACTCTTTTGAACAGTTGAACATTCTTGGCCTTGCTTTACATTGAAGGTAGAAAGCACTTGCTGTCCTGTCCATAAGAACTTTCTTGGTCTGGAGTCTTCCTAACTTTGTTGCTGCCTGAACGGCCTGTCTTCATACTTAGTGTGGACGATATACCTTCCAAGAATTCACCCTTCCGTGCATACTTAGCATGGTAGAGTAGATCCTTGGGTTGGCTTTGGTCTCCCTACTGTACGCCACGCCAGAGACCTTTGATTGCTGGGTCTACTGGAGCCAACGGGAGACGACAGCAAAATGATATGTCAGGAAGCAGCCGCCTTCATGCTTAGGCAGGCTGTGCCAAGAACATTGACATTTCTTAACACAGTACACAGATAGCACACTACAAGCACATCGTTAGCTTTTTAATGACATTCTGTGGGGCTGAACAGTTGACAAATAATATGTATGAAACTGAGCACTTCTTCTCGTACCCTCTGACCTGGTGGTGTCGTTCAGGGTCCGAGATCTGCATCGCCACTCCGGGTCGGCTGATTGACTTCCTGGAGGCCGGCAAGGTGAACCTGCGCCGCTGCACCTACCTGGTCCTGGACGAGGCCGACCGTATGCTTGACATGGGCTTCGAGCCTCAGATCCGCAAGATCATAGAGCAGATTCGGGTGTGTTGCAGTCTGCTCCGTTCTTTGCACGTGTTTAGCGGGTTGGCTGCGGCCCCGTGAACTGGCGAGAGAAGCCGTGCCGGCAAGTTGTTGGATAGGAAGGAGGTGGAAACGTTACCATATGCCAGTTTGTCCTGGTGGTGTAGGGCATGTGTGATGTGGGCAGTAAAGCCATACGTAACCTTTAGGTATGGCTTTGGTTTGCTCAGTTGTCGGCCTTCAGTATTTCTGGACTGACAAGAGATTCCAGTGATTTTGGGCAAAGCATCTGGCAACAATGGCTTCATGCACCAATGTGGCCAAAGTGTTGCTCCTAGGCATGGCTAGTTCACTGGCTCTGTTAGGAGAGGATCTGGACAGATATGCATCTTGTGTGCAATCATTCGTGCAACTGATTAAAGTGGCACTGTGCTTTGGGGTGTGAGAACGTCTCACAAATACTGCAGTACATCGTCGTTAGAGTTTTTTGAGGAACTGCTCTTTTTTAAAAAGTCCCTCAATTTCTGGCCATTGGTATTCCAAAAGTGTTACGTTGTCGCCTGCCAATGGCAACACTTGCATTCTCTTGTACTCTGTGGCGGGACTGCTTCGCTCAACCGCCAGGACTGCAACAGCACGACGCGATGACTTGCGCAACATCATTCGTTGCCACTACGAGATTGGCTAGCTGAAGGCTTGTTCCCGACACCATAGTTTCAGACTAGTTGGGTGGGTGTTGCATCCCTGCTTCGGTCTTTACTGGGTCCGACCTAACGAGGGGGTTGTTATTGCGCTTGCAGCCGGACTGCCAGACCCTGATGTGGAGCGCCACGTGGCCCAAGGAGGTGCGGTCTCTGGCCGAAGAGTTTCTCAGGGACTACATTCAGATCAACATTGGAGCCCTGCAGCTGTGCGCCAACCACCGAATCCTGCAGATCATCGACGTCTGCCAGGAGACCGAGAAGGAGGACAAGTGAGTTTTCTTTCGTTGACACCACTTTATTGGGAATGTGCGTGAAAATGAATTTTTATGTTGATGGGTCAAGTTCTTGTAAAGGCCCTCTCTCCTTTGTTACTCGAGAGTGTCTGTACTGAGTGCTTCTTTGCAATGAAGCAGAACTGCAAGCGTTATTGCTGGTGCCTGCTACTTGGAGGACAGAATTAATAATTGATGTAAGTTCAGTGAAGTAACTGCATTACGCTACACTGCAAATGTCGACAATTGGAAGCTAGTGTTTCTTTTGGCTGTGCCCCTTTTCTGCGTTGTCTTCTTTGAACAGCGAAAGGAAGCCGGTCTGTCCGGTGGGGTCTACGAGGTCTAGTTGGTGTGCCGCATTCAGATTGGTGGCTGCGCACTGTCAAAGCCTCGTTACAGCAAAGTCCGAGAGTTCCCGTTCACTGGGGCTGCCTTTCTCTAGCGCCTCTCAGTTGCAGGGACATTTGGCACACTGATCATGGGACGGTTATGCTTAAAGGGTGGATTGTTTTTTTTTTTTAGTTGCGCTTACGGTTTGCACAAACTTCCGATAGCCTCACACTGGATGGAAAGCTGTGTTGCACGAAGCAGCTTTTGATAACTGGTTTTCTGTCTTCTGCAGGCTAATGAAACTCCACCAGGAGATCCTGAATGAGAAAGAGAACAAGGTGAGGGGCCGCTTCCTGCGTTGGCGTCGGTCTGCAAGCTGGTCTGGTAGAAGTCTTTCAACTGGAACCATTTTTATTTTTTGCAGACCATAGTGTTTGCGGAGACCAAGAGGAAAGTGGATGACTTGACACGCAAGATGAGGCGCTACGGGTAAGCCTCTTTGGTTGTCTCAAGTGTAATACATTGGAGGAGACTGGTGTTAAATAACGTGAAAGAGAAGCTGACGAGAAGCAAGCTGCGCTGTGCAAAGTGTCTTAATAAAGACCTGCATTGCTGCATAAGCACAGTGCAGATATTTCCTATACATCTTTAGCTCTGGATTGATCAAATTGTTGTCTGCCTCTGCAGCTGGCCTGCAATCTGTATTCATGGAGACAAGACACAACAGGAGAGGGACTGGGTGCTCAATGGTGGGTGTCCACTACGTGGTTTTGCTCTCTGCCCGTGTTCTCTGGCAAAGGCTGACCAAAGCGTGTGTGGATACCTTGGAGCTGACCAATATTTTGTTTTGTGTTTGCACAGAGTTCCGCTCTGGGCGCGCTCCCATCCTGGTAGCGACGGACGTGGCCGCTCGTGGCCTTGGTGAGTCAGATTTGTGTTCTCTACGTTTGTTTTTGGTGCGCTACGTAGTTGACAATGATTGCTGGCATGAAGGAGCTTCCCTGGAGGTGGGTGCTTATGGGTTGTGCTACAGTTATAAGAGAGGGGAGACATGTTCAGGAACATTTGCGCTGGTTAGACGAGGAAGGCTTCTAGTTCCTTGCGTCGCAAGCTGAGGGTTATATTCTGAATTTCGCGCAAGTTGGTACACCAGGTTATGTTTTAGCCTCCACGGGAGGGTTGAAGCCTTGTGCTCGGGCACGTGGGGCTTTCCAATGTTGCAAAGTTTTTGTGCGAAATGTTTAATTAAGTAAAATGTCACCGATTGTAGGAGTAGGCTCCTGGTAAAAGAAACGAGTGGAATTAACTGGCCTTGATTTTGGTTTTATATTTCATTACCACTGGTGTACCTTAAGAACATTTGTGCTATTACGTATTTAGAATGGAACCTTAATTCTCTGGGATCTGTATATTTATAAAAGTGTGTATGGAGGTGGAGGGTAAAATTAGGTGCACATATGATCTAACTGGTGTGCTTCAAAATCTAGGTTATCCTCTTTGCCGGAGTCTGGGGCAACACTCCCCGTTGTGTCTCATCACTAAGGCCCTCCGTTCTATCACCAAGGGGTTTTGGTTTCCGCTCTTGGAATTTTTTTGTCTTCGGTAGGTAGATTGCGGATGCAAGACGGACGTTTTTGTGCACCTTTTGATAGTAAGAAGATTTAAAAATGCGAGTAAACCTGGGCTATTTGGAACAATGTTCCTTGTTTTCTCGTGAACCTTGGACTTTCTGGAAGGGGCACCTCTAAGTGACTCCAAACGAACCTGTTTGTGTTGAGCTCTTGGTTCGCGCAAGAACACTTTGTTAATTCTGGTTACTTCTCGGACCGACGGTGTTATGGAGTTGCCCTAGACTGCGGCAAGGACGGTATCTGAACGGGTGGGCCGTTCTAGGTGCGAGGCGTAGGCGTCTGGAATGGTATGTCTGTGGTGTCCTGGGACCCCTCGTTGGTTTGGCACGTAGAGAAACCCCCAAATTTGCCGTTGCCTGTGGCCGTGGGATGACCTTTTGTTCTCCTCTTTCTCTGTTTCCTTTTCAGAGGCACGTGTGTGGGCACGCTGTCCATACGCAGTGCCTCGCATTGCACTGGGCGGCCCAGCCCCTTCGTGAGCAAAAATGTCTGGGCCCCAATGCAAAGAAAGAGCGTTCGAAGGAGACAAGGGACCCACAGAGCCCTCGGGGGGAGACTCCCGTGGAAAGGGGCGTCGTTTAGCTACTGGGCATACTCCCCTAGCTCGACAGGGAGTAGGTTAGGCCCCCCCGTCTGCGGGGGGAGTAAGAATCGGACCCACATGGAGAAGTAGGCTCGGTGTGCCTGCAGACTGCCAGGTCTAAGGAGAAGGGGAGCAGCTTCCCTAGCTCAGTGCAGGTTTCCTATTTTTTTTTGAAGGAGGGATACCTTTGAGGGACACTTCCCGTTAGGCGAGGTGGGCTGTAAATGAATGCGGCCAAGGGCAGTGAGTCGCCACGCTTAAGGGGGGGTTACTAGGGGCGTTTGGGGTGGCCCCGGCCGCCGGCTGTGGCTCGCACGGTCGCTACCGACGGTGGCCCGAGGGGGAGAAGGAGGTTGCGTGGCCTCCCCTCGCCCTTGGAACTCTGGCGGAAGGCCCCCAGCGGCCCCACTCACTTGCAGGTAAACTGGAGTGCTTCCTTGTCTCTGTGGGGGTCACGAGAAAACGGCAGTTGCGGGGATCGCTTTTCTCCTCTTTTCTCTCCGGGGGGGGGCTTCTCTATACCATCATGGTGTCTACCAATAGGAGCGTGTCAGCAAATTGAGTCTGCGATCATGATTTGAAACTAGGTTCGACTTAAGTTATGGATATTCTTAACTAGTTGCAACTAGAACCTTGGGGAGGGCGCAGGTATTAACCTGTTAAGTATCTGATTTTAATAAGATCACAGTGCGCGTCTTGTGCCGCTGATTTCGAGTCTAATTATTTTGTAGATAACTTCGTTGGTAATGCCGACGATTTCCTTTAGCGAGCGATGCTATATCTGTCGAAGGAGAATTGCTTGCAAACTTTTGAGGCTTAAAACATTCTCTAGAATAGTTAGCATTGTAGATAAACAACAAGCTGGTTATAATTTGAAGTTTTTTTAAACATTAATATTGCTTGGGCAGGGGTGCCGAAAGTAGAGCTGTCGCAACTGTATTGTGGCCGATTCTAAGACTCGCAACCACTCTGAATGCTACGAGTGCCTTTGTTCTGCATTTTTGGTCAGCGAATTCTAAGGAGGCTGAGTTTGGAAATGGATTCTGGTAGACACCCTGATAGCTCCCCTTTCTTGCCTAGCTACAGAGGGTGGGATAATTGTTTCCTAGCAAGTTGCTAGCAGCCTCACCATGGTCAGTAACTGGTCTTGGTTTGCCTTAATAGTTTGGGTTTCTTTCCTTTTCCTTAGCAGTATGTTGCATGGCATTTGCAGCATTGAGGGAATGTTTCGGTTGGTTGCGTGCTGTAATAAATTACCTCGCAAGCTTTTTTTTCTTTTTTTTTTTTAATATTGGGAAATCTGGGAGGAGCAACTTTAACTGCACACTACACAGAGACGAGCACTGTAGTTTGGCTTGTGACGGTGGGGACTTGCTTTTTTCTTTTTTTTTTCTCTCTGGCGGTTGGCAGTTAAGGTAACGATTGCATGCTGCAAGCGGTTAGCTGCGCGGCTGTCTATGGCGATGTGGGCGGTCCCCGGTTTTTCGGTGCGGAATCGCATTCTAAAGGGAGCCAATGGACCTTTTGCCGAGTTACGCGAACATAGAAAAGAATGCCAGGAACGTAGGTATGCGTGCTGGCATCCTCAGGTATAACTGTTTGAAAGCAAAAATCTAACAAACGGCACTTCGCATGTGCATTCCACGGACGCTTCATTTCGGTTATTTCCTTTTTCGAATCTTTTCTATGCGGAAGGTGAGCACGTGCACCGTGCCGACGTTCCCAGCATTCTCTTTGGTACTTGAGTAATCTAGCAAAAGGTCTACTCAGAGTTCGTTCTCGCGCGTGGCATGTCGCGCGACCCGCGATGTGAAGTTGCGGTGTCAAGTTTGTTAGATGTAGAACATTGGGTGTTGTGTCACAGGCAGTCTAAGGTTGGGTTATGGGCGACTCCCGACGTTGGGTTGTAGCACTGGTGTTGCAACGTCGCGCGATTATTTGACACCAATCAAAATGAACCGGGAGTATTTTTTCTCTAAACCACAACCCTTTCTCTCGTGTTCCCCCCGGAACTTCCATGCAGACGTGGACGACGTCCGATTCGTGATCAACTACGACTACCCGAACTGCTCTGAGGACTACATCCACCGTATTGGTCGTACGGCCCGGTCGAACAAGACTGGCACGGCGTACACCTTCTTCACGCCCAACAACTCGCGGCAGGCCAAGGAGCTCATCTCGGTGCTGCAGGAGGCCAACCAGGTGGTGAACCCCAAGCTGTACGAGATCGCCAACAACCCGCGGGCCGGAGGATGGGGCGGTGGACGCGGAAGTGAGTTTCTTTCCTCTCTCTCTCCATCTCTTGCCTCCGGAGCGCTTGTCGTAGTGTTTTCGCACAACGGATTTTGAGCATGTCGTGGGGGTGCGAGGTGGTTGGCTCGCGTGTCAGTGCTCTTTGGCAGTAGTGGCGTTTGGGGTGTCGGCTCCTCCGCTTCAGACTCTTAAAGGCGGTGCAACGATTTTCGGACATTGGCCAATTAACTGCAGAAATTAATGTTGTGTCCCCTATAAAGCAAAGAACAGAAAACTATTTTCTTACGAGCACTAGTTATTTTAAAAAATAAAAAATCGGTGCCTCGTAACTCTCAGTGTCGCCTTTCGAGTGACATACTCTGGGGATCACGTGGTTTCCTCCTGGGTTCTCTCTTGAGAGAAACCAGCAGCTTCCTCCACAATTGTCGACTTCTAAAGGATTCGCATTGTCGAAGGTCGCGGCGAGCGTTTGACAAAAAAGGTTGTTCGCCACGGGGCTGACGGCAAATGTAGCAGCGGAGGGGGACAGGTTTATCTCGACTTTCATTGTTTCTGCAACAGCCACACGCAACTGCAGATTGGCAAATAGCTCATTTTTTTCTTTGCGATTACGCTGCGGATTAGCAGTTTATCGGGGTAAGGTGATACGTTTTTGGCCACTTGTGCTTGGATAAACAATATAAAAAATACAAACTGCCAATTCTTCGAACATTAAAATTGTTGCACCGCCCTTTGAACGCTTCCCAGAATTGCATTCATAATGTGAGAGGTTGCCGTCCGACGGTGATGCTCTGAAGTGCCTCCGGTTTGATGTCTGAAATCGGTGGTTGGTCGCGAAGCGCCAAAATGAAACCGAATGGCAACTGTTGTACTCTATTTCCATTTCATGTTTCTGAGCCTGAACATATTGCAAGCACAGTGCATTCTCCTGCTCAATCTTAAAGGAATCGCCTATCCATTGACCTTGTCTTTATACAATAGACTTATTAATTCACACTCTGGGAAGCCACAACCTGTTTGACTTGTCGGAAATCTTGGATTATTGGAAATTCATCTAAATATGATGCGAGATAAAATTGTAATTTGCCATATGGATGGCTATACGTACAAAGCAGATGCTTGAGAATTTCCACTACATAGGCCTACTGATCATAAGCAGGTATGCCACACGAGAAAGATCAGTGGAATGTCAAATATTGTTTCGTCTGGACTGTTTGATAGTACATGACAACTCAAAACAAAGTTGAAGTTTGTTCATCAAGTCAAGAAGGGGACGAAAGCGGGCACCGAGCAGCAGTTTTCATAGCATTTTGCGCAACCTCTGCGACTTGGACCTATGGCCTATGCCATGGTGCTCGTTTTCATAGCTCGTGGTTTCCTGCTTGAGCCCTGTTGAGTGCACCTCTCACTGCGGAGAAGCAAGCTCCTCAGGTGTTGTTTTTCTGCGGTGCACCAGTGCTCGGGAGGAAGCTCACTCAACGAAACCGCGAGAACAAAAAGTATGAATTGCACAAGAATGCCGTTAGAATTAAGCGGCTTAAAAATACATAAAAAAAAAACAAAAAAAACGGGACGCCAGACTCTTGAAATTTGAATCAACCAGAAGTATGAAATATCAGTTTTAACTATCAACAGCCTGCTGTACTATTCCTTTTTAAACAAAACCCAAACATTAAGTCTTATTAAGAAAAAATAGCTTTGAAGGGTGATTTATTTCCATTGGTGGTATATCCCACGGGCATTTATCTTCTCTTCACTGGTGCTGCAAAAGGCTGCAAACATTTTGCATGTCTTGGTGCTTTTGGAAGCGACTGCCAGCTTGTGTTGCTAGCTTGCGCTAACCACTGCATGTTTCCCGCGCGTTTCAGGCCGCTGGCGCCAGGGTGGCTGGCGCTGACCACTACGCGTGTTTGGTGCGTTTCAGGCCGCTGGCGCCAGGGTGGTGGCGGCGGCGGAGGAGGTTCATGGAGAGGCTCCGGAGGTGGTGGCGGCGGCGGAAGCTTCGTCAGCGGCGCCAACTCCATCTCTCTGGGATCGCGGGACAACCATCAATCGAACGGGAACGGCTATGGAAACACCCACAACTACTACTCTGTCTGAGGAGGGGGGGAACCCACTCTATTCGTTTTTCTCGTTTTGTTTTCACTCGGGCGGGTAGACCGGTGTTAAAATCGCTCCTGGCTCGCACTTGTTTGTGAATTCTTTCCAAGGTTTTCTGTATAGGCAACACTCACCAAAAAAAAAGAGGAAACCAAGATTTGTCTTCTTGTGATATTGTAGGTGTTTTTCTCTTTTTTTTTTAATACTAGGATATCAAGTGTATTGTGCATTCCTCCTCGGAAGGTTTTGTTGTTATTTATGCCGTTGTATCATCTCGCATTTATCATCTCCGCCGTACCACCGCATGTTCTCGTCTGTGCAAGAAAGGGACCCTATTTGGAGTTTTTTTTTCTTTTCGTTCTTGTGGTTATTTTTGTAAGAGATGAGTGTGGAAGACTGTTTACCAAGATGTGGAAACTGGGCACCTTGGAAACATGGACCCCCCAAGATCTGCGGGAGAGCCGACGACTCGTGAAAGCAATTGAGACAGCCTGTGCATGCATTGCAGGCTGCAGGGACTGGAAAGAACTTAGTCCTTTTTGTTTATCTTGGAAACTGAAGTTTGAATAAACTTATTGGTGAACACATGCGGTCTCCATTCCCTGCTTTTCGGAGGGGATAAGCTTTCAAACAAATGTGCTGCCATACTTAGTTGTACATAAAGCAAGTCTCTATGTCGGTGATGGAAGTGCTGCGCTATGAACGAAGGTCTGCATCTTCTGCGAGAATACCAGTGTTGCTAATGGCATCTCACCACGAACAGACTTACTAGAACCTCCGGCCATTTGCAGGGCCAAAGGGCCCTGCAAGGACCTTTTTCCTGGTTTTTAATTTGCACGGAACCTGAGTGCACTGAACGTGGTAACTTCATGAAACTTTTCACGAATTTCGCTTTATTTTAAAAGTTTGAGGCAAAATAAAATTACAAAAACGAGCAAAAAATAACCTTGGCCGCTTGAGCGGCCATGAACTAGAGGAGGGGTAGTGAGCTTGGCGAGCGCTCACGGTTGCCGCACTCCGTGTCGACGGCTCAAGAGGTTGCCATTAAAGCATGTTCTGGATAGGCTGTATGAAGCGGGCAGCCAGGGCGGCTCGCATTTCATTTGCTGCGCGATTGAACACTAATTCGGCATGGCACTTCATTGGCCACAAACGACAGCAAACACGGGGAAAGATCAGAACAGGAGCCAATTCGCGCCGCCAAACCGCAAGCCAAAGCTGCTCGTCGAAGGCCTTCGGAACCGGCCCGTTCCTCGACTGCAGCGCTGCCGCGTACATCCGGGACTTTTCTATTCTACGCTCGCCGTTCGTAGGTGCCTGCAGAGCCGGCCATTCGCTCTCTGGGCGGCACCATTTTGTTCAACCGCAGCGCCCTCTCTACACATCCGGGAAATTCGGCGGGGTAAAACGAGAGAGAGGGCACGCCGACCTTCAGTCCGAGCGCAGTGGACGCCACGAGCCATCCCAGCCGATCCAGCGCCGGGAGAAAGTCGCGTGACCTGCCGGTGGGGCGGGGCGACACCGGGAGCTCAAGGTCGCATGACACTCCCTCAACGCCGCATTGGCTGGGGTGGCTCCTGGCGTCCGCTGTGCTCGGACGGAAGGTGAAACGGAGTATAGCAGACGACAAACCGGGAGGTTGCCGTTCTCCATCTTTGGGCTGTATCGGCGGCCTCTACCGAACACCGAACTCTCGCTCGTGGCTGCCGTTGTGAAGTGGTTCGCGTTCTTAGAATAGTTGTGGCTACTCCAAAATCAGCCTATAGCTCTCTGTTGTTCTATTTTGCTAAATGATAAACTAGCATATCTTTTTTTTGTTACTTAAATAGCAGTTGAGTCAGCCGGCAGTACTACCCTCAACTACTGCGTGTATTGCGGCAGGAGAGCATGTTTTTATTTATTATTTCAGACTTCCACTCATGGTCGCTAAAGGCCTACACCAGTACGAACTTTTGTATAGTAAAAAAGGTACAGCAACCGGATTTTCTTTTCGCCAAAGAGACCGGCCAATCTGACACAGTTTTCCCTATTTTTGTTTTTTATTTGCACGCAGGTAACAGTGCAATTGGACCCTGTGAGTCTTTTTATCTAGCATAGTATTATACGATAACTGGCATACCAAAATCTGCGCATCTGCGCTTGAAAGTTCCAAAATGACGTGATTTTAAACAGAGTTAGCACGCCAGCCGGACGCTAGCTACAGCCCACTCGGCGGAGCGGACGGCTTGCGGGGGAGACGGGGAGTGCATTTTTTTTCTCTTTTACCCTCTGCTATGACCCTAATGGAACGGTCGGAAGTGTTAGCATAGGATCAGAAGTGTCTCATCCAGCTCCACTAAAGCGATTTTTTTCGGTCCTACTTCGGCGCCACTTCTAGCGCCGAAGTTCACACGGAACATCGGAAGTTTCAAGGACCTCGCTAACCGCACTTTGCCGAAAACCGGGTAAGCGACCTTCGGCAAATACGGCTTCCAGCGATGAAGGAAGACCGCTGCTGCGGCCACCGGTACTGGGCCCAACAGCCGAATGTGAAACACTATTCACGCAGCCGAATCCCGGCGACATCGTGATTTTGCGCCGAGGCGATGGAACAATCGCAACTGCAGTCGAATGCGGTTCATCGGTCAACCAAGCGGGTGCCTCGAACATGGAGACAGACGCCATAACACCGCTGAGCCTAACCAGCGACTGTGAAGCCCGAAGATTACGCGAATCTTCAGTAGCAAAAAAGCGTAAAGGGGAAGACTTGACGCAGGCAGACATGTTTCTCGACGCAAAAGGAGAAATAATGGACGACAAGGGTTGCAACGACGACGACGACTGCAACAATGGTGAATGGGAAGTTCCGAACTACCACAAAAAGAAAGCTCAGCGCAAAAACAGGCCAAATCGACCCCAGCAGCAACAAGACGGACCGAGGTACACGGTCATCGTCAAGCCCACCACGGCCATGAAAATCACCAACGTGGACTCATGGCTTCTGTGGAGCACCTTCCGGAAGCTCTTAAAGTCGCCATGCGAATCCGACCAGTTAGGTTACACCGTCAATAACAGAAATAACTTCATCGCAATTACCGTGCAGACGGAACACCACGCAGAAGACCTTATGGCACTCAAAGAGCTGCCCACGGAGGACCCTAACAAGACGATCCAGGTCACAGTATACAGGTCAACAACCGGCAGTCAGCCACGAGGAATTATACACGGCGTTTCACCTGGCGACGCAGCACGAGGCATTGTTGACAATGCCATAGCGGACTACCATGACATTATTCATTCTCGACCCCTCGGCAAGAATGGGACGTATTTAATCACATTTGAAGGAAAGGGTATCCCGAGGAGCATCCGACTATTTGGAAAATACCATACTGTGTTTCCCTACAAACCAACTGCGGTCATCTGCCTACAGTGCCACGAACTAGGTCACATGACCACGGTATGCACAGGCAAGCAACGGTGCAAGTCGTGCGGCGAGATCCACCCGACCAACCAGCCATGCCAGGGCAAGTACTGCCCGAACTGCAGAAAGACAGGTCACACGGTATTCGAAGCAGAAGCGTGTCGGGCCCGGAACCGGGCGGACGACAAACTCCAGAAACGGGCGGCGGCCGGTCGACGTAACTATAACAGCGGAGTGGTTACCGCTGCGAAGGGCAGGACCTCTGCCCGGGCGACATTCAAACCGGACGACTTCCCCTCCCTCCCAATCCAGAGGCTGCACCACCAACCAAAGCGCGATAGACCCGTTGCTCTCGGGCAGGGGGCGCGAGCGCGTCCGCGAGACGCGACCATGTTATGCTGGCAGCACTATCCAGGCGGCGCTGTAACGTTCGATTTTGCACGTGCCACGTTCGAATGCAAGCATCTGTCAGCATCTACAGACGCGCGATAACAAAACGTCTAAAAAAAAAAGAAAAAAAAAAAGAATTATGCAGCTCGTGGGCTCAGCGTCGCATTCAGCTTTATTATTTTATTGCGTTCTTTCATAGCTTCCATAAGCCCCGTATGTTTCACTTCACGTGATAGCGAAGCTGAAGGTACTCGCAAGAACATGTTCCCCCAAAAGATGGACGCACTGACACGAGCGCGCGTGCTTCGAAGGGACGGAGCTCGGTCTTGTAGCTTCTGCTACGCAGGTACTTCGAATGGAACGGAGTATAAAGAACTATAGTGGGGAAGCGTGATGACGCACGTTCGAAACGCGAGCCAAATATTTTATTTTGCTCACCTGGAGCGCTGCTCAAAACTTGAGAGCTACGGGCCTATACAGAAACGTCGTACAGCCAAGTCCTAGCTCCGAAAGCTATGAACACGGACCTGTCCCATATCGGGCCGCCCACCAACATTAGCAGCAGAATGGCCGTGGAACTTGCTCAACTTAAGGAAAGTAGCCGCAAACTACTTGAGAAAATTCAACAACTGGAAGTACAGTACGAGAAACAGCTCCGACAAGAACAAGAAGAGGCCCGCAAAGCCCAAGCCAAGACGAAGGCCGAATCCGACCGGAAACGTAGGCAAGAAGCGGAACACCAAATTCAAGTAGAACAGCAGAAAGCTGATGAAGCACGTCGACGTGCCCAGCGCTGCGCCGTCACCTACGAACAAGTCATTGAACGGAAAAGGAAGGAAGCCGAAGCAGCAACTGCTAAGGCCACATCAGCACACGGCGCGCGCGCAAGTGCCCCAACACAACAGGATCGAAAAGAGCCCTTCCCGCCAAATGCACCTTTATCACAGGACAGCACACCGATATCGGGGTGCCTTCCAGGCTCGCCCCTCAGCGGCGAACATCTCCTACAACTCGTGGAGAGTAGACTTCAAAAATGGCAACAACAGCTCCAGCAACAGCTACAGCAACAGCAACAGGTCATGATGCAGCAGATGCAGCAACAACTGCAGCTGATGTTCACCCAGCCTGGACAAGGACCGGCAGCACCGGCCCAGTAACCCAGACATGGACCAACACCATAGACGAAATAAAAACGAGAAGACGTTTACAGCTCTCCAGTGGAACTGCCGGGGACTGCGGGGCAAGAAGTCTGAACTTAAATTACGACTCAATGAGCGGAAGACGCCCGTGGATGTCATCCTGCTCCAGGAAACGCACGAGGCAGACATAAAGCTGACCGGGTATGTCAAGTACGACAAACCGAGCATCACGCTGACCGTTAAAGGCAAAACGAAAGTGCAACCGCAATCCGCAATCTTGGTTCGCAAGGACCTCTTGCCCCAACAGCAAGTGGACACAGGAGAGTGGTGTACCGACTCACAAGAAGTGGTGGCCGTTCTGGTGGAGAGCGAATGCGACGGCCCGATCCTGGTAGTGTCAGTGTACTACCGACCTAGGACATCAACGGCAAGGAAAACGAGATCAGAAATCGACCATGGCTGGATAGAGAAGCTAGTACGAGAGTACGGTAAGAAAAGGAAGCACACGATCCTGATCGGAGGGGACTTTAATGCCGAACATGAAGAATGGGGCTACGCCAAATCGTCGATCAGGGGTACTGAGCTGCTCCGCAGAGCCACCGGAACAGGACTGGTCCTAATCAACGAACAGGGTGCTAAGACACGGACCACGCCCA